CAGAAACCAAAAGTATAAATAATGATGTATAATGTTTTTGCGTTTTGTTGTTAATACTTTTGGTTTTTGAATGGATGCCCCCCCCCCCTGATCTATTCTAAAATCGGTATTTCTCACATTCTTAACTAAGGATTCTTTTCTATACTTATATCCTGACCGCAAAGCTTTTTCTACCGATATAATTCCTCTTAATTTTAGCTCGCTCTTAATTCCGCAGTCGTCAAACGCTAGACTAGAAGTTGAACTTATGATACAAATATTTCGACGTCGAAGTAGTTTAAATTGCATAGCCACCAAAATGAAGGAGCATTCAAGTTTTTGCCAATGAACAGGAATGGGTTGTATTTGGACCGCGTTAAACAGAAAGGAACCAAGCCACATCAGCTATTGCCAAATTTAACAGGGAAATTTCATTTTTTACGAGAGAACGTCTGTGCAGATTCCTTTGAAAATTTTAAGGAATTTGCCTTGTATTATGGAGAAAATTCACTGAAAGTTGCACAAAAATCCGCACAACCGTTTTCATGTAAAAAATTAAACTGCCCGATTAAATTTGGCAACAGCTGATGTGGCTTGGTTCCTTTCTTTTTAACGCGGTCCATTTATCGTCTGTGCTCTTTGTTGCTTTTCCCAACATCAGATGGCGCTAGGGACGGAACTACTTGTTCTCAAAGGCTAAGCGTACCTACTTGATTTGGTAAATCAAGCTCTGAAAAAAGGTTTTGTTTTTAGTTTTTTTTTGGAGGGGGGGGGGGTCTTTTTTTCAAAACATATTAAAGCGAAAATTCCTCTTAACTCCATCTAAATTCATTTTCAGCGAGTTTGATGTTTCAATGCTATAGCAGTTTTTCAGTGACGCTCTAAATGTGTGTGGGAAGAAAAAAAAACGAAATAAAACTTACTTCCCTTCTAAAGAGAGAGATTAATTTTTCGTGTTACAGGAGAACTAGCTTGAACTCTATCATTATATGTCTATTTTTAATTTCTCTAGAATAGAGTTCGTGGATGACAGTCGCTTCAAAAGAATGCGATTCGATCGCAATTGTATGAACCAATTCTAGGTCATCGAATAGTTACTCTTCGTTTTTTCTCGTAAAATCTGGCAACGCTGATTGGTCGGGTCATTTTCCGGACCAATCCCGTTGTTTTTTATTCTTTTGTTCTCGGTAGAATATGATCGGTCGTGTCCTCAGCGCCGAGTTCTTCAATTACTTGCCACTGGTTTATTGCTCCTGCGTGGGGAAGAATCGGGAGCTGTACAGCAATAAATAGGTGCGTGTAACGAGAGGTTCAAAAACTTAGTCGAGGGACGTATTAGTTTAGATCCCCTCGTTAACGTGTATCTATCTTCTAATCGGGTTTTATTACGTGACTGAGTCTTCCACTTGTCTGTCAAGTCGATGTGACGCAGAGTAGGCAGAGCAAGGCGAAAAAACTCCTTCATTTTCGCGTGACGCAAAGAATCGCACAGAAGCACGATTAGTTACCTTCAATGTCATTCTCACAGTATATACTCAATCAACAAGCATTTCTTTCGTCAAGCTTTCTAGAAAGCATTTCAATTTGAATACATCTAATAGTGGTGGATCTAGTAATATAAAATGACTTCTACTTATATGATGGAAAATGCTGATCTTTTTTATTTGGTAGCTTATATTCCGTCGTGTTTTCGCTCACGGCGAGGTATCCCTTAATTTATTTGCGTGGTCACGTGTTCTAGTGTGCTTTGCAGGAAATTCTGAATTTTTCAATTAGTCTGGATGATTCTAATGTCACACAAACCCGTATGCGGATTTTAGCACACTTGTCTAAGCAAGACCGTTTCAACGGTTATATACCTCGAGATCGGAGAATTCTCCAAAAATTGAGCCACACCCACGATTTTTGGATTATGCTCATGAATGAATCTCTAAAACAAACTGCATTCCGCAAAGATTTGGCGCGCTCGTGAAATTTAGAGAAAAGAGACACTACAAGCGATTATTCCATCACTTCCGAAAAAGAATATACTCACCAAACATCAGCCACAAAGCAAAATTCAATGAATTGTTGATGCAAGGGGAGTTTGATTTAAATACAAAATTAGAGTTGTTTTTCATTGCCTGATTGATGATCACGATGACTTGATCATCATTAACATCGTCTGCGAGGAAATGGGCGTGGGCACCGGACACGCAACCGTCCAAAAATCCATTGAAGTGAAAGTTCCAGTTTAAGCACCGATCCAAGTTTTGATCCGAGTTCTTCATTCCGCCGTGTCATCGCGTGACTAGGTGTCATTCCAAACGCTAAAGTCCAGTATTCCACGTTGTTTTGATCAACTTTCAGTACAAGGTTTTCAAGACAAAGCTAATTTTTCAATCGTGCGATGTTGTCGTAGGCTTAACTCTATACGTTCACTTACTTCGTGCCCATTCTCAACGGCTCTGAATTTTCTCAATCCTGAAACTTAGTGCACATTCCCCTTGTAATATCAAGGAGAAAATAATGTGTAGCAAAGCTCACAGCTGACACAGTGAAACTCTGCTCAAATAGAGGTAAGGCGAATGAAGGAGTCACGTGACATTTCTGTTATTTTTTTTTTTTTTTTTTTTTTTTTTTTTTTANTACTTCAAATAGCCCTCAAGGGCTAATCCTACGCTTTAAGTCCCATCCCCCCTCCGTCCCTACTGAACCAGTCCCAGGCAACAATTGTTTGAGACCATCAAACTCGAGGAAAAAACCATTAAAGGTGAGAGGCGTGATGTGATATTTCCTGGTAGGGCATCTCCTACGTGGAGAGGGGCTCAGAAAATGTTGGCAAAGCAGCACAAGTTTACGTTATTTTCAGGTTCAAAGTTTATTTATCGTACAGAGTAAACATTGCAAAATTGATCGTTTTGAAGTAACCGACAGACTTCTGAAATTTAAAAAAAACATAAAAAAATCAAAGCCACTATACACGCATCGAAACACCATTATTTCCAAAAGAACCGAGCCAAAGCTGCGGTTTACACGAGCTTTAGACGTGGGTCTGCAAATCCATCGTTAAAAAAAAAATCAGACAAGAATCTGAAAGAAGAAGAAAGAACGAGTATCAACACAGCTGAAGACAGGAAAGACGCATTCGGGCCTCTTTTTTAACTATTCTCCCGCGAATCTGAGCGACACCTCATGGACAGCAAATAGCAGAGCATTGAGAGCTCACGCTTCGCATCATCGCGCCTTCAATTTTTCGGATGCTGCACTGACGTCCATTAAGTACGAATAGTTGTATCTCTGCGCCGTCGTAAATGCGCATCTTTTCCCTCCCGCTATATTGTGTTTGTTTCCGTTTGTCTTATTCGTAATTGTGCTTCAAACACCACGTGAGTAACTCAGCCGAAGGTATAAGAGAGATGTGTTCGGGCCTCTTTTTTAACTTTTCTATCGAATCTGAGTGGCACCTCATTGACAGGCATTGAGAGCTCACGCTTCGCGTCATCGCGCCTTCAATTTTTCAGACGCAGCACGGACGTCCATCAAGTACGAATAGTTGTATCTCTGCGCCGTCGTTATCGTTCATTTTCCTCGCTTTATTTCCATATTGTGTTTGTTTGCGTTTGTCTTATTCGTAATGGTGCTTCGAACGAGTAGCATAGAGCAGAGCATTCACGGCTCACGCCATCGCGTCTTACATTTTTCATATGCAATTTGGACATCCATCTTGCGCAAATACTTGTATCGCGTTTACACTTCAAATTAAGGTTAAGTTTGCCCGAGATATGCTACGGTATGTCCAAATCAATATTCATTTTGAATAGGAAGAAATTTGTTCAAAGATCTCTCGAGAGGTCTATAAAGCGTGCTTATGTCTAAAAATCGAACCGACCATCACCTCTAAGGGAGTTCCACGTAGCGAATGAAGGAGGGGTATGATAAAGCGCCTGTATGTCAACAAATAAAAAGGTGAACATTTCACAAAAATGTGTTTACGCTTCAGAAAGTAGTTCTTGGACCTCTGTTCACCACTGTCATGTGTAAAAGCACCTTTCTTTACTCCTAACTGTCTTCTTCTGTTCATTTAAGAAATTTTTCGCATTTTTTCTAGGTCGTAATTTTTTTCTCCTCTTATTTTGCTATCCGTCAGAGGGGCGCGTTTTCGGCGCGAAAGGGGCGTATCTGCCAATGGTAGATTGGCCCTATGGCCAGTCCAAGCCTGGAATAAAGTATCCACTTGATGAAGTGCACTTTATTGTTCAAGTCATCTTTCACTGGACGCTTGGCTTTAGATTATCGACTAATATTTGAATGCGATTTTTGACGGGGTTTCATCGTGTTTCAGGGAACGGAGTACGAGCCGATCATTTTGACGAGCAGCAGGGAACCTGCCGGGGTCGACGATTTGCCGCAAGTCAGACTCGTTGACGGACCCTCAATCCTCGCTGGCAGGTTGCAGATTTTCCACAATGGCGAATGGAGATCAGTTTGCACCAACTCTCGCAAGTACGTTATTTAATTATATAAGTTTCCGTCTAAAGACATTTTTTTAGTCCGAAAAAAGAAGGTCGAGGAGAAAAATAAAAAACGCAGCCACCCAAGTAGGACGGTGCACACAGATATTGAAAAAAATTTGCAATTTAATGAAATAAAATCGAATTTTTCGTGTTTCCTCCGTACAGTTGCAATATTTTTACATCATTCGGTGGAAAAAAACAACCTTTAAACGATTTTAATAGAATGAGTATCATGTGTGAGGAAGGTTGGCAATTTGCAACTTATTCAATTTTCTTGCAATTCATTTCAAGAAAAAGCGCTCCTTCAAATAGTGAAAAGGCAACCTACGCGACACTCCGATAGAACTGCCGTGATAGCGAAGAGAGCCGTAAGTGCAAAATTTTCGAAATCGAGTTTTCTTCAAAATTCGTCTAAACTCTTTTAGATGAAATTACGGAGACAACTAAAACAGCAAAATTTATCCTAATTTAATGAAAACGAGACCTATGAAAAAGCCGCAAGTGCACAAAAAATGACATAGTTTTTTTCAAGACAGNCCCAAAAAAGGCCCATTTTTCGGTCAATGAAGCTTCGAACCGATTCGGGACCCTGCTCAATCAATTCCTGGTCCAAAAATACGTAGATTTCATCATACATGTACCATTTTGCATATGCACAACCCATCGGAATTGAATCATTGATCGTTTTTGAAGGCCATTTTAGCGCCAAAAACACAAAAATCGATTTTATTTTCGAAGAGCTCGACAGAATATTTTCATTTTAGGCTTAAATGACTGTGTATGCATCCTACTTCAAGATGCCGAAGGAATTTTGAGTGGGCAACACTATTTCATTTACCTCCCTCTGAAACGAACCGTGAGCCGTAGGTGCATGAGAGCCAATGAAAACAGTTCTTTCCAGTAAAGTGCCGCCCTCTTCTGCCAATTTCTAACCTGCAAATGTGTTTGTTGTGCGTCCAAAACGCAACCACGAAAGCATGCAGAAGATAGCACTCAAGGCTGCCTTGCCCCAACAATAACCTAGCATGAAAATGAAAAATATCCTTTTTATGTAATGGAAATAAAATCAGTCGATTTTTAATCATCCATACGATTTCTAGGAGTCTTCCGGACGATTAGTGGCAATTCGACAAAGAACGGAGGCTTCTTTCAATGAAATGTTCTTGTCAGAAGCTGCTGAGCCCGCTTTCTCAAAACTTCATTTTTGCACTTACGACTCTCTTCGCTATCACGGCAAAGAACATTATTAATTTTACCATGCAATGGAAATGTTGCATGTGTGAGGAATTCGCGATTTGACTATTAATTCTTATGTAAAAGTTCGCGAGAAACACGATGTTGCCACTGGTTTTCTCTGAAATCAACTCCCAAGCTCAAAAAAAGCTCTCAAGTTGAGGCCAAAATGGAGGGGATATCCCACCCTACCCTGAGAGTCCTCATCTACATCCAGACAAACTCTCCATGCACAGATAGGGAGCAAATACATCGACTGGACTGCCACTTTATTTGGGGACTCCAAAATTGAAAACACGGCAACCCTGCTAATGTATTTGCTCCCTATCATCACATGGAGAGTTTGTCTAGATGTAGACGTGGACTCTCAAGATAGCGTGGGATATTCTCTCCACTTTGACCTTAACTTGAGAGCTTTTTTGAGCTTGGGAGTTGATTTCAGAGAAAACCAGTGGCACCATCGTGTCTCTCGCGAACTATTACATACGAATCAATAGTCAAATCGCAAATTCCTCACACATGCAACATTTCCATTGCAATTTATTGGAATCTGTCTCATGTGCTACTCGAGTATTAAAAAAGTAGCTTTTTTTTCAAAGTTGCCCCAGAGTAGGAGGAAAGAATGTAAAAACTGGGAATTTTTTGCGATGAAATCGACGAATATAGTAGAGAAATGAGCATCTCCATTGCACCGTTTAAAAATCGCCGATTCAGTCGAAAAGAAAACTGAAGAAAACATCTCTTGGAAATTTTCTCTCAACATTCTTGAATGAGTGAAGAAGAAGTGCCGAAAATATCTAAGAAAAGAGTTGGTTCGTTTTATTTTTTAGAAATCAATTTTTAGATTTCGACAAAAAACCCTGTATCTTCCGAGGGGTTAGCTCTTCTGCGTGCCAGCATAGCGTGTGAAATGAGAAAATGCAAAATTCCTATTTCGAAATTTCGAGTACATTATCATGTTTCACGGCCTCGAAGCTTTTAGACCATTTGCTAGTTCGATTTGGCAACGCTTACTACAAAATACTACGCATAGTACTACGATGCGTACGATGACGAATCCTTGGTCTTTCATTGGTCCGTTTTGTTTTGAACAGTTCATTCATGAATTGCGCAGCGCTCATGCGCATGCGCAGCACGCGGGCACGCACATGGTTGAATTTGTAAACAGATGATAACGAAAACTAAGCAAACTGTTTTTCTTTTCTTGATATATTCGGCGCGTACTTCTTTATTGATTTATAATAATGTGTGATATGTGATATCAAGGATGTTAACATTGTTGCATCTTCATTTATATAGCAAACATCTGAAAAACAGAATTTATCGTTCTTTTCATTGGTTACGTTTTTAAATGTGATGTTCAGACCAGCCAAAAATGTTGTTCATCGATCAAGTGTAGTTTCATTTTTTCCCTTATAATCATGCCACAGCTGGCTGTATTATTTACATCCCACATACCTACTTAAGAGCATAGACATTTTATGGTCAAATAAATCCATTGTATTCTGATTAATTAGGACTATACTGTTAAGGTCAGAATATGATGCAGGAAGATTTCAACCCTGACCGTGAGGTTACTAGTTGTAGTTACATGATCACATGTGTCCAAGCAATGTAATGTGTGAGCAACATGAATCGCCAGTGGCTTTTACATAACGACGGTGTAAGTCGGCAATCACATAACTCGGTTTGCGAAGTTACAGACTTCCTATCATACTTAAGTTTTTAAACAGAAAACTACTCAACGGCAATTCTTTAAAACGGCTATGATTTTTCTTCTCTGTGCGACGAAAATTCTGTATAAACTTCAAGGGATGATGTCGATTTGTTCTCCTTTAAAAAAATAACATAGAGGCAGAGATTTTCAGTCACCACAACGAGATATGTGATCGCAGACTTGCGCCGTCGATGAGTTTTGTTTCAGTGGTGAAAATTAGTACTTCTCAAACCATGGCTCCTATTGAATTGATATGTGCTCAAACAAATGCAGGTATGAACCCAGGTAAAGCACAGCTCAACTTGTTCACTTCTTGAGAGGAGGTTTTACACAGATATAACCCACTTGGATAGATTTAGTATTTCCTCCGACTTTTCTCCAACCTTGTTGCTTTTACCCTTTACTAATCCTCGCCACCCTCCACTTCAAAAGCAAATGGTATCCCCTGATTTTTTACTCTAAATTGCATTTCTTTCGCTTCAGTTGGCTAGCCCAAACTAACAAAGCCCTCTTTTTCCTCAGTTGGACCCGGTCAGACATGGAGACTATTTGCCGGCAAATGGGGTTTCAAGGAGGCAACTTCTGGAACTGGATTGACCGGCTACCCGGAGTTACCAAATCAAGATTGCTTCTGGAGGAGCCCAAATGTCGAGGAACAGAGCTCTCGATAACAGAATGCGACTGGGCAAGTCGACAACTGGGATCCGGAGTTTGCGGTAAATAGTTTGTTTTTTTATCAGAACATTGAAATAACCAAAGCGTGCTCTTTTTATCAGAACATTGAAATAACCAAAGCGTGCTCTATGGCACTTAAAATTGTATCAAATTACAAATGATGAATGATAAACCAACAACAGTAACAGTAGTGTTTCTAGTTTTGTTTTTAGTGTTTTCAGGTACATGGGACAAATTGAATGTATGAAGAAAAATTTAATTACCATTGAAAATTTATTGCACTTTTGACCGTGTGTCAATTCATGTAAGAAAATGTAAAAATTAGTCGGTATATATTCCTGAGACTTTAAGACTATGAAATATTACGGCAATAGGTAAATAAATTTTCCCTCTGTTTGGTAACGAATACAATGTTTTGGAGTCTAAGTATAAGTGAGCAGTAATGCTAATTTTTCATATTTTTTGAATGAGAATGCAGGGTAACTCATCAATGATCTCGAAAAATAATTCTATTCTTTTTCAATTCTTTTATTCTAGATTTTGGAAAATGCTAAAAAAATAATTGGTGACACCACTATTCCAGTTTTCATGCGATCGTACCTTTAAAATCCATCTTTGTCAACGTCTGTCCTCCAGCCCTCCTGCATTATTAATTTATTCTTTTTCCTTGTCAACTTACAGACTTTCATCCAGATTTAGGAATCGAGTGCCTTCCATATCACGAAACAAAACCATCGCTTGTCCAGCATTGGCGTGGCATAACATTTCAGAATGCAAAACATGAACGAACGTTAGCTCAAAGAAATACTCTCTATGTTCAATCATCTTTATCTCGACTATCTTATGTGCAAATAAGGTACAAGTATTTTTTAGTTAAATGTTCACTAATACCTTCTTGGTACCTATGTTTTATTATTAGATTGTTGCACTGAAGTGTTAGTGAGATTCTAGCCTACTTGATCACCTATTACAAAAATTTTTTGCTCCTCCAAGCCTTCATCGACCGAGAAGAAATGCTGACAGGCATTATTTAAGATGATTACTAAAAGAAAGATTGTGATTTTGACCAGAACATCCTACAGATTTAAAAACTGCATTAAATACAGTTAATTAGAAAGTATATATTTGAAAATTTTCAAACTACCTGAAAGTTGTCTTGTGTCATTCAGTCAGACTGACCTCCCATTTTAATACCTAAAAATTGCACGAACAGCATCGTTGCCGCAATACAATCTTAAGGGTTTGGTTGAGGAGAGCAAAATGTGAAATAACATCAGACACGCCTAAATATTATGACTAGAAGCAGTCAGGCATATTTTTCTGGCTATTCAGCATGCTCTCCGGGAGAGTCAAACATTAGCAAGACTTTTTTGGCAGTTTAAGTCTTTCTAAAAGCTTCACTAATTCAAACTCACTTTTACCAAAGATATATAATATTGTATCTTAACCAATGCCTCAAAGTAATGCAACACGGGCATATTTGAATAAAAGCAGAAAAGTACCTCTAACATGTAAACTATTTTTACTGATTGAAGCAACAATTTCATGTTGTCTTTTACAGGTATGGAGGATCTGGACGGGATTACAACGCTACCTCAGCACTCCAAATTGAAGGAGTCCCGCCAAAAATGCAATCTGTTTCAGTATTATTTTCTGCTTACAATGGTCTCAACATTTCATCTCCTGATAGCCCTGTCGTTTTAAGTAACTGTACGATCCGCAGCAATAGAGGTAATTATTCTATGATAGTCTTCAAACTTGAGGATGCTAGTCATTTTTTACATATTTAAACAGTTTTGATTTTTAAAGCTTCAGTTACTTCATCAGTTTTTTTGTCGGAACCTTTTGTTTAAGAATCTCTCCAAGTGGGAGCTTTTCATACCTGAAACTCATACTTTATGTTTCCCATAACATTTCGCAGAAATCTGCTGAAGTTTAATTTGAGATTAGCAACAGGCCTCGTACTATGTTGAACTCATGCGGAATGTCTGAGGTCAGACTATAATGTTAGTTGACAGCAAAAACATGCAAGCTTCAAGGTAAAAATTTGTTCATCCCATTTTAAAGCTTTTTCCAATATTTCAGCAAAGTGTGCCCTCTTTTTGTTGATTTCTCCGGAGCTATGGGAACAAATTTTAATTCCAGGATAAATTCAAATGAAACTAAAGCTATCCTGTAAAGAAAGCATGATTTTAAGTCAAAACACAACGCCTATATACTTTGCTTTATTTTTGCAGGTTATGGAGTTTATGTCAATAGCTCTACTGGAATGGCGCTTCTGGATGGTTGTTTAATCAATGAAAATGGTGCTGATGGTGTGAAATATGTACACCATGATGTGAAAGTCATTGAAAATCGACAAGAAAATTTTGATCTGTGTGAATTTCCAACGACAGCCAGTCAAACTTTCCCTATCAATGTTTTCGTCCAGCAAAACTTATACTCAACAAAGGAGCAAAGTTGTAGCAAGGTACACAAATCAGAAAAATATTTCTCCGATCGCAATTTTAACAAGCCAAATCAAGGATCCTCCTATCAGTCCTCCGAATGATTCAACTTTTTTGTATTTTGTAGTTTTTATATCATTTTCAAAGACATCAAGCCAAATTGGTTGAATTATTAATTAGTACCCTCAATGAATATATTTATTCATGATCTCATCTTTTCCAGACTATTAAAGTAAATTTAATATCATCTAAAATTTGGCGTATGTAATCTTTCTTCGAAGATTTATCATCAAGAATGGGCCAAGTACCAAAAAGTTGATTTTGAGTTTTTCACGTGTTTATTTCTGACGATTGTTGTGGCACATACCACTAATGCTATCTTTTGGACATTATACGCACTACTCCACTGCTGGTGAAACCTTGCCTATTATGAAACATGTTGTCTTTGGTGCGTAGGACGAAATTCGACATCAAATTTAATTTTCAATTCTTTGGCACTAGTCTCCTTTTCATCAAAGTTGGATGAATATTTTCATTCTCTCAAGTTTTTGACAAGGTCTTCTAAACTCAAGAAACTTTTGAAAGATTATTTCCAAGACAACTGCTCATAGTTAACCCAATATTTCATCCTAACTTTGTTCTTCTTACAGTAAATAAGTGACTTAGTCATAGGAATCTAGTTTTTTACTCAAAAGAAAATGAGCATGGTGTTTTTTTTTTATTTCAGTATTTTTTCACGAGGGCAGGGCACGTCCTGACAATACACTTCTTAACCATGACAGCATCCCGAAACAACAGTGGATACATCTCCGTTTTCGATGGAACGTCCAGTTCTGACACTCTTCTTGCTCGATTTGATGTGCGGAATGGAACAAAGCCCCAATCCATTACCACAACCAGGAACAATGTTTACATCTCTTTCTCTCCGCAAGCAAGGACTCATATTTTAGGTCACATGAAAATTGTCTCCGGATATAGTAAGTATTACCTAGACTTTATGTGTCATTGATGTTGTGAGCAGATTTATTACAAAATTTTAAGAACATGAGCTGCCTGTGTGTGCATTAGCATTTAATTAATATGTAATGTTTTTTATTCATAAAATATTTGGTCTATTTTCAAAATTTTAGTTAAAACTGGAACTGTTTTTTAATCATGAACAATTTGAATCCATACCATCTAAAAATTGTTTATGTAACAGAATAAGCTTTATTTTGTAGTTAAGCACCTTCTGATGAACTGCATTTTGGAATGCCAAAGAAACCACCATTCCTAATTCACTCTAGAAACCACATATCGATTACGTAACTGCAGAAATGTGTATCCCGGTTTGCGAAATTGCAGACCTGCTGCCATACTTAATTTTCTGCCTGGAAAATTACTAAACACCATTTTTTTTAAAACTTCGGTAATTTTTATTCCTTATGTTAGGAATATTCAGTGAGAATTTCAAGCTATGGTGTCAATTCGGCCTCTTTCTAAAAAATAAAGTATGAGCTGAGATTTTGAAACACCGCAACCGAGATACGTATTATTTGCAGTTTCACCATCTGTATGTGGCACTAGCCCTAGACACACCAGACAGATAGGCAAATAGGCGTTTTTATGGATGGGCAAGAAACAGTAATTCCTTACTGCATACTATAGTCCAGATAATCCTCCATGATAAGTGCTCCATTTATCCTTTAATGTAGATTCAAACTCAAATTACATGTGGACTAAGTTGTAAACAAAGTGTCACTTTTCAATAAGCATTCATCGCATGAAAATGCCCTTTGTTCCTAATACAAACCCCTATCATTATTTGCGTTTGCTCTTCCTCTTTTCCAGATAAATGGTATGATCTAAATGTGACAGACACTACCATTGCTGACAATAGTGGACGAGGAATAATTGTAGAAAATATAAGAAGTATGGTTCATGTCCAGCGCACTTCTGTTTCCAACAACAACCATGTGGCCGGAGTACACATTCTTGGTGGTGCTGGCGATGTGAACATCTCTGAATCTCGAATCGCTTTTAATAAAGGTGATGGAGTTAACATCAGTTATGCAGGAGGCAACCAGAATGTCTCTCATTCGTCCATCTCATCGAACAGTGGATTTGGCTTTGCTGTTTGGTTCAATGATTCGAAGCAATCAGATTACAAGGTAGGTACTACTGTGCTCCTCCACTCCTCACAAATCTTTGGTCAAAAATGGGTCGCAACTTCTGCAAGTGAAGTAATATTTCTATTTTCCAAATTGGAATACAGGTACCACAGTTTTGGTCTGACACTTCAAAAATAGATCAAATATTATAGCACAAATGCTGATTTGTTGCAACAAAAAAAATAAATATTTGTCTCATCAATAGCGTCGACCATTTGTAGGGTTTTTCTAGTCACTAAATGAACACAGCTAATTTAAGCTGGCATGGAAAACAAAAGCAAAATGAACACGGAATTTTTGGAATAATCTTGTAGTAATGATAGGTGAAAATTTTGAAAGGTTGTCTAAACGGTCTCAAAATGTTGTATTTTCTTTTCGAGTACAACAAAAAATTATCTTTTGAAAAAAAAGTATCAGAAATTGGAAATTTCAAAAGACCTATAACCTGCATTTTTTCAACCTAAAATTGATTTTACTATGAATTCTTCTGTTTCAGGTTTTCAAGCAAGAGACAGATATGGGTTTCAGTGAAATCTTTAGAAATTTGGAAATTGGTGTATTAATTGGGAATTTCTGCCGTGAACATTTTGTTCCGCGTGTTAATATCACCGGCAACTACTTCAATTTGAGTATGAATCATGCAATTGAGATAAAAACGTGTCTTAAAGAAAATTCTGGGAAGCTCAAATTACGAATTGGAAATAATGAGTTCGTTAACAATCACAAACTGGGAATCAAAATTACCCCTGCTGTTAACATGGATGGACTTATTGAGTTCAATCGCTTTACAGCCCACCAAGCTGGCACCATTTTCATCAAAAATCCGTCAGAAGTTGATGAGTATAACGTTTTTGAAAGTAAGCTTGTATTAAAGAATAACGAGTTTTATGACAACCAGGGCTCATATGTCCTCAATATTGGTTTGTCTCCATATAGTGAGTCTCAAAACTTGTTATTCACATGGAACTTTTTGAGAGACAATCGAATTCGAGAACCGTTCTCAGGTTCAGATAGTGCACCAAAAAAACTCATCCCTCGCAGTCGAGCAGCAGCAGTTCTAGTCATTTCATCTGCTAATGTTCAAGTCTTTAGAAATATTCTGCAGAACCATGACTCAGTCTATGAAATAGCATCACATTTAGAAGACCAAAGTCAAATAATTAATTGCACTTACAATTGGCTTGGACACTCCAACGAAGACAAAATTTTTGAACGCCTTTTTCACAGGTAAAATTTTAAGTTTTTTTTTCCTACATTATTCTTATCCAACGTTAATTCTACGTTATCCAATAAATTGCACATATTCACGGCTTGGGCTAAAATATTTGAGAAATTGTGATGGAATTTATGCTGTTTTATAATGATAGAAGGAATTTCTATCATTATAAAAAATTTTCTAATGGTTTTAATAGAAAAAAATTTCAAAACATATTTTCAATTTTATTTTTCCTAAATTTAAAAAATGCAATTTGAAATAGCTTATGAAAGTGTCATATTTCTCTTAAATTTTCAGTCTACCGACCAGTCAGTCTCTTCATGGCTGATTAACATTAGGCACTGTACTTTTCCCATTATGGTTTACATCCTAAAAAATTTCATCAGAAGTACTGTTCAAATATATTTCCGATGGATCCAGTTTTTAAATTTTCTCATTTTTCCTTTGTTTTATACGAGACTGAAATTTCAAAGAATTGATGTTACTTATTACTTTGAGTAGATCTCATGGCTAAAAGCATATCCTGATTTCATTTTTTCACAGGAAGGACCGGTACAATTTGGCTAAAATCGAGTACCTGCCATATTTACTTCATTCAAGCAACCCAGGAGCCACTACAATAATGAGCTTTTCCTTGTTTGTACCGCACTTCCATCTATTTGGATCAGGTGTCGTTGGCGGAGAGGTGGAGGGTGTGGAGAGTTTACGAGCTGGAGAGTATTCCGTTGTTAGGGACATTAGTATTCGACCTGGTGCGCGGCTCTCTTTGGAACCTGGGGTTACTTTGAGGTTTGTAAATTCTCTACTACCTATCTGCTACATTTTTTAGTTCATGCTAAAGAAAGGGATTGGGTTTTTCAAGCATCTGTTGACACCATGTCAGTGGAATGCATGAGGAGAAGAATGCGGTTAAATTTTGCTGTGATTTTTTAAATTTCTGGTTTAACAACACCATTGTGATGTTTATTTTTTTACTTTCTTAAAGGTAATGTTGGTGAATGATAACTTAAAAATCTAATTTTTTAGTTATCATTCACCGGCAGTACCTGGGGTAAAGTAAAAAAAAAATTAAAATTAATTATGTTGATGGAATGGAGGAAAGGAGAATGTTGAGATTATTAGTGGCTTGACAACCTTAAGGGAGGTGTAGACGACCACTACACTACAACTAGAGATGGGCACAAAACTGACTCATGGCCTCAAAAATATGCTGTTTTTATTTTTTGGTAAAACTTTCTCTATGTAGTAACGTAAGGAAGTAGTCAATAACCAAGAGCTCTAAGAACAGGACTCATTTGTCTCCCACAGCTCAGTTATTAGAAGATGAAAAAAAGTTTATCAAATTACATACAATAATTTCTTGAAATCATCTTTATCTTAGGGGAAGAATACTTGATTGAAAATGAATGAGTGGCACTGTAGACCAGAAACTCACAGTTTTTTTTTCAGGTCTTTTTTTTTTAGCCAGATAAGGAAGTTATACGTTGATAAATAGTTAATCATCAAGAATTTCATTTCTAAAATTTTCAATTGCACTGAATTTCTTCTGTTTTAGATTTCCACCTGGTGTTGGTATGATGGTAGCAGGTAAATTAGAAGCTCGGGGTAGAGGTCCCAACGATATTCGTCTAACACTGAAAGAAGAGAGAGTGGATGAGCCAATCGATCTAGCATTGAATGAAACTGACGCAGAGCCAATCCCTGTTCCAGAGAGCACTATCCCTGTCAGGTTGTTAGGAGGAAGATCGAGCAGTGAAGGAAGACTCCAAGTAATTATGCATATTAATCTCTCCTGATGATCAAAGTAATTCGAACCTTGCTTCAGAAGAATGTTTGTGTCTTGTAAAAGTAGGGAATTATTGCAGAAAAAGCGGTAGCAAAATGAAGATGTTCTAGAAAATTATACAAAGGCTCCAAAAGAAACAATTTTCCTCATTTCCAGGATTCCTCTTTCAGGCTGTTTCTGACTTAATTTTGTTGCAAGTATTTTAAGTACCGTCTGATTGTGTGCTCAAACTTTGGAAAACAGTTTTAAAATACATTGTTTCAGTTCTTAGCAAACAAGCTAGAAATTGGTAGAGCACCTTCCCGGCATAATAGCATCAGCCATTTCATAATTTGCGTTCAGCCTTCTGATTCTAAATTCTATATCGTTGCCAACTCTATCAATCAGTCTGAGCCATCACATAGATTCTACTCCATGTTTTTGCATACATTCTCATGTGGGATTTGAATCTATTTCTCTCTAATAGGTCAAGGTTGGTGAAAAATGGGGAACTGTTTGTAATTATGGTTGGACCATGCGAGATGCAGCTGTTGTGTGCAATCAGCTGGGACTAATTCTAAATCCTGATGACTGGCTCCTTACGCGGAATGAGATACCACATGCTGGGTTGACGGAAGATATTCTCTTAAAGTAAGTTTAAAAAATGTATAAATTATTGTTTGACCATTGGTTTTTTATGCGCTTTTTTTTATGCCCAGGCCTACGCCTACCAGTCACTACAAGTCCTTTGATAATTTGAAGTTACGGACCGTGGACACTTGGTGTCTAAACCTCTGAATGCTAACTGTTCTTGGAAGACGTTACACGGGTTTGCTGTATCATGGTTAGGATTCTGCCATTGATGTTGTGCATAAATTATGGCTGTACTATTGTATCTTGCCCTCAGGTCTTCATAATGTCTGAGTCAGAATAACCACATGGCCATTTCACCTGAAATATTGTGGTGCTGAACCAAATGTAAACACTCCTCATACCCTGCCATATCTCATCGTGAGAAAGCATTTTTCTTTTTGCTCCCTTCTAAAAGATACTCTGTATTCTTTTAGGTGTACTTCAATGTTTTTATGTGTATTAACAGTGCTCTTTTTTCCTTAATTTGCAGCAATGTCCGTTGCACTGAAGATGATTTCGATATAACCCAATGCCAGTCTGAACGACTCCCAAATTTTGAGAACTCATGCACCCACAACGATGATGTTGGTTTACGGTGTTATGAGCCAAAATGGGCTGGAATCAGGCTTGGGGTCTTAGCTGAGCGGTGTGATTTGCAGTATATCTTAATTGAACAAGCTGGACTTCTGGACTACGCCACAAATGAACTCAAACCAGGTAATTAAAAGGATAACTGCACTCAGTATATTTTCGACTAAAATCAATTTTTTAGTTGTTCTGTGATTATGATTCACATTAATGATTCAACATATCTCAAATTTTGATTTTAGTAGTTTGAGAATAAATTTAATGAATTGCCCTCCGCAAAATCTTGTCTTGGAATTGGGAGATATTATTCAAATCTAATCATTTGCATGGATTGGCTCTAGACAAGTTACACTCTCCTCAAAAAATGGGCTTTATTAGCTAAGTTCACTCGAATCCCTAGCCTTCTATCTCAATAAAATCTAACGTAAATTATTCAAAAACAGTAATTAAGTGTCTTTCATGAACTGTCAGATATAGTTTGGCATGATGTCAGGTAAAGTTTGGTTATTTGATTCAACAACTTTTTCATTAGTTTGTTCATCATATATTTACCGTCCAATTCTAATCATCTTTTTTTCTGTTCCGAGCAGCACTACAAATTGACTTCAGTCACCATGTCCTTGAAAATGTCCGAGTAATCAATAACATTCATGATGGTCTTGGTGTCGTTTATTCTGATATCTATTCTCAAGGATCAGTTAATACAATTAAGAATTCGGAATTCAATAATAACCGAGGATCGGGAGTGAGTTTCAAACAACTTGGAATGAAAATCATGGGTATGATTCATTTATTAACTTTGGTTAAAAAATTAAGGTGCTTTCAGGGCAAAGATCCATCTTGATCTGGATGGAATCAATTTCGTTACAAGCAGACAAGTGAAGACAAAATAGAGTTCTGTAATTGAACTTTTACTTTATAAGGGCCCAAGTCTCAGTCCATAAGCTCCAAACATTCTGATAAATGAAGAAGACAAAAGCTCAAAAGTGTTTCTACCTGGGCCCTTTTAGAAATTAAAAATTCAATTGCCCTCAATAAATTAAATTGGCAAAAAAGCATGAAAACGTTTTTGCAATACATATTATAATTTGCCACAGTCAAGTATTAATTCAACTACCTCCAATTTAGAGGTTGCTCCTTATTTTTGGCCTAAAAATTGGAGTGTTCAAACTATTTTCTGCTTCTTTGCCTTTCTTTCCCGAGTTTTGAGAGAGATTATCCCCCGTATTCCTGCGTGGATCCACCAATGACTGCAGTCCAAAATATTCTATGTAATCAAATTCCTGGTTTTTTTTATAACACGAATACGATAAAAAGTATCCAGCTAGTTTTTTATTAGACTAATTTTTAAATAACTGAAAACTTGAATTTATAGAAGTACATGAAAATAATATTGCGGACTTGTTTTTTAGGGTCCAGTATGGAAAACAACAAAGTAGCTGGCATCCGTCACCATCCTCGACTCGATGGCCTGCAGCAGCGTGAAATTGCCGGCTGGTTTAAACCTTTGAAAGATGTTGCAACCCAGTACTCCCCGTACAATCCCATTTTCATTCCTTTCTTTGCCGGCAATGTAGACATCGAAGAAAAAGAAACTAAGTATTTCATAACGCAGAGAGTTCTGACTGCAGATCCAATCAAAAGGACATTTTTCATCAGGGTAAGCTTTGGAAAATTTTATGAATATCAGGAATCATTGAAATGGGGTGAAAGTTCTATCAAGTATATTCTCTGCAAAAAAATCAATTTAAAAAACAAGGTGGCGAGAGACTTTCTGAAAAAAAATATTCAATTTTTTTTCCATAAAAAAAGTAGACTTGGTCAGAAAGTGGAAACTTTTTTCGTCAAGTTACCAAGTTTCATAGAGGTTTGAAACTTTGGCATTGTTTTTCATTCAAGAAACATTCCTTTCTCATTTACCAAATTATTTGGATGGACAGTGATTTCATTGTAATTTTCAGATTTCAATATTTTTACGTAGAATTTTTTTTTTTCTATCTTTGTTCATACATTCGTCAGAAAAGAGCCAAAAGAGCATGTCTTTTTCTCATTAGTTTCTTCATTTTTTACATTTTCCAAATAATGCTGCTTTTATAGAGTCAGCCTGGTTACGTTTTGGGTCTTCAACTCCTGAGCCCCATCCACAACCGCAGCACTGAGAACATCTTTATCACCGATAGCCATGTTCAGTCCACCAAAGCAGCTGTCTGGAACGTCAAAAGAGACCTTTCTGTGTTTCCAACAACCAGCACATCATTCGGTGTTGCAATCGAGTATCACAGTGGAAACGATGCCCTGGGAGGAGCTGTTTTGGTCGTCTCTAGTCTCCCAGCTCCAATTCAGAATATTCCGAACCGCATCGTGAAAGGGCCTGTTCCTTCGTTGGTTGTCTACCAATCTCGGATAAAAGGAAACCAGCATGGCCTTTGGAACACGTATTACAATAGGTAAGTTGGACTTCATTTCATAATTACAAACTAAAAATTCTGGCTCACATTCACTGGTAAAACATTTATTTACATAGGGAAACGAATGGTCCATATGTTGTTTCTAAAATGAGCCAAAAATTGTAGTTCTGAATCGCAAAATGTGTACCCAAACTGACGGCCATAAACAATTTTTTGAGGTTTTTTACTCACTTAGATTCACACATGATGTCTACAACCTAAAAAAAAAAACTTCACTGGGGAAGATCTCGGGGAAAATCAAGGAATTCATCAAGGAGTTAGTGGTGAAAACTAGATACTGCTTTCTTTATGCGCTTTGACCATTACGTATCTTAAATCCTAAATTGTTAAGTTTAGCCCCAATTTTGAAGTTCTAAGTTTGTAACTGTCTAAAAATTGAATTGCTTGATTAGTTCTTACTCTGTAATTCAATGATATCTTACCTTTGGTCAAAGAAAAGAGCCATCGCAAGTCTGAACTGCAAAAATGTTCTTTGAGTCTTTAAATTATGTTATGAAGTATTATGCTTTCATATTTGTTTTTCTTTCGCCCAAATTTTAAAATTTGAACCCTAATTACTCATTAGGGACTCCCTTTATTTTTAATTTTCTACTTCTTTTGTCTAACCTTTCAATTATGTTTGTCCGATTAGGTATTTAACTGAGATAGGTGAACATTACTTTCGCAAAAGCAATGAGTCCATCAGTATTCTCAACTGTGATATTTCTCATAACATTAGAAAAGCTTTTTACATAAATTCACCTCATTGGAGCCTGAAGACTGATAACATATCAGAGATCACAATAACAATCAACAACACTATGATCACAGATAATGCTGTTGGTATTCATCAGAAAAGTCGGTACGTAATCATTTTCTCTATATTTAATTAAATAATTGTTCTCTTTTTTATGATTAACAGACCAGTAGTTTGAATTTCAACATTCCTTCTTGTTGAGTCCTCATTCTTACAGTGTGATTTTCTTTGTCTAATTGGACTTACTAACTTCATAATTATTTAATTTTTATTACGTTTTTCCGTACAAAAAATAATGGAAAAACATACATTTTGAAAAGCTAGTTTAGTCATTTATGTTGAACCTCCTTTGAAGCATGGTAATTACTCAATATTAATTATCCATTAGTTTATTACGTCACTATCTGTGGATTCCAGTCTCCATTTTCCTAATTTTTCTTTGTCAATCTACTTTTTAGTCCAAAATGCATCCTGTGATATTCATCATAAAATTTTTGTGTGTATTCATTAGTGACCTTCATCGTTCCAACAATCTATTTCACTGGTTCTTGCATCATAATACAATCGAGAGAAACGGCTATGGAGGATTTGAAATTGAATTGCCGTACGTCTGGCAGTATAATGAGAACTACACGCACTCAGTTCGGCTCGAAAACAACACATGGCGCAACAACAACAAATTCTCTGTCCTCATCAATGGCCACTATGCAGAGACCAACCTGACAAATAATATCTTCTTAGAAAACCACTGCCTAAGTAAGTACGGTTTTATGCACTTTTACCCGAAAACAATGATGCTTCTTCATGATTGTGAGTTTTTGAATAATGAAAGTGTTCGCCAATAACTCTTAGTTTTGAAAAGGGTTTTATCTAACATGAAAAAGTGTTGTATTCAAACCATATCTTCATTTTACCAACAGTAAAAAAAAAGGAGTAAATATTTAGAAAATTTGAAAACTTGGAATATTCAGGAAAGAATGATCAAATAGCTTAATGCAGTAATCCTGCTGGCATACTAGAATAATTTCTAGATAAATCAGTTTATTGTATTCTCCTCATAATAGATACAAAATACATATATGAGGACTTAAATGTAACAATAGCGTATGTCAAGTTTTCCTATTGTGAGAAAATTGCGTTTGAAGTTTTCGAAACTTTGCACTTTGCCGCCCATAGAACTGGGAGGATTCTCATAAAGATTTTCTTAAAGAGCAACTCCTCCTGTAAAACTACGCGTTTCACGATTTTTGTAAGTGAAAAATTGAAGGAGTAACAGGGATTTTAAAAAAAAGTGACATCCGCTATTTTTATTGAGAACATTTTTTTATGCATGAAACAAAGTCTTCAGGAAGGGTAAGGCTGGTGAAACGATTGAAATGAACCAAAAGTAAGTCAATGCTGAGTCATTTAATGAAATTGATCAAAAAACTAAACCGTTTAAAACTTCTACAACAAAAATAAGGAATAAATTATAAAATCAAAAATTCTGGCAAGACAATCCCGATACATATAATTTGAGTGTCAGCTGCAGCCCATAGCTGGTGCGCAGGCAGTTATCGCAAGTGCGTTCGAATCTCTGTGGTGTCCTGCCACGCCACTCTGGCTGGGGAGAATAGTGGATTCACATATCCCCTGTCTTTACAAATAACATGGTTTTCAGTTCATATCTCGCCGAAAATTTGCACTGGAAGCCTGAAACTTTGCACAGGCATTCTGGAGCGTTCCAGAATTCGAAAATAGCGTTTTCCCTAAAAATGGCGGATGTCAGTGACCGCTACTGTTACATGTAAGTCCTCATATTTGTTTCACCGTTTCCATCTCATGCTGGTTTCATTTTTCTAAGTGGCAATATTTTCTGCCTTGTCACATGAGCACATGAAACTTTGGTGAACTACTAATCTGAAATGGCCAAACCATCTTTTTTTACAGTGGATGCAAATTGGTTACTTTTTCAAAATTTGAAAGTGAGTGTTAGTGTACTTTTCGCATATTGCGTGATTTGCTTTTCATTTTATCAAATTTTTTCTCTGTGTCTTACAGCTGGTTTAGTATCCATCAGTGGTATGGAAAAGAAATTGCTCATAAAACATAACACAATAGAAAGAAACGTCGGCACTTTTATGATTGAATTCAAAATCGACAGTCAGTCAGAAATAATGGGACAACTGCCTGCAAACTTTATTTTCAATGTTATCCGATTGAACAGTCCTCCAACAGCAGATGTAAGTAGTTTGTTCATCTTTTCTCTGTGCATTACCTTGTTTTTTAATTCAAAGAATGAAACTTGTCGCATTTTTAAACTTTTACAAATATGAACCATATTTTCGTTCGGAAAAGGGGAATTACATTAACAAGGCCACCACATAGCCATCTGGTCGCCAACCCGTTACCTGCCATGGTGTTTTGGGTACATATTCCCTCTCAGCGTCACGGTGTTACTCCTCACCAAACAAGAGGCCAAAAAAAAGGTTTGATTGTGTATTATTGCTAGGCTAGGGCCATGCCTACTGGAAGCCATAAGAATATGCAAGGCTCCACCAACTGCTGGCCTTGAAAGAGCGTTCAACACAAGTAACCGCGTCCCACTTGCAAATACCTTCATTGCCATCCAATACAACCAGCATGGCAGGCAACGTGTTAAATTTAAAGCAACTTTTTAGTCCCTGTAGCAACCAGTCTTTAGCAGATTTTTAAACTTCCCAATTCAAAAATTATGTTGGCTCGCCTCACTTAATTTCTATCTCATTGGTTCTTGTGCTCTGAAAATGTAAACAAGAGACACCTGGAGTCAATTTTTCTCAGTTTTCCGCAGCTGAGATAATTTTATCCCTTCAAATGTTTTAATTTTACCGATTAGTCAATTGAAATGTCCTTCAAAATTCCAGGTTCCATCTAGTGTGATCGTCTTTGACGGCCTTCAACGCGTCCGAGTCAGGCGGAATCTCCTTTCTGATAATAGTTTAGCTTACATTGTAGTGGCTGGTGTGCAAACAGCAAGGATCAATGACGAATTGGATATGACAGAAAATTGGTGGGGCACTATTGACCCTGTGGAAATCAAGCACCATATCTTTGATTTTGATGATTGGAATGATCATGCTTATGTCCGTTTTAGACCATTTTTGATCGAAAACTCACATGAAGGATCTTTGTCGGTAAGTGTATAAACTAATTATTTTTTCCATAACATATCCATTGAGGCTAAACTGATTAGAATAGTGTCAATAGCGACCTCATCTGAAAAAAGATGAAATCCTATTTACATTCGTTTCCATGATGGAGGAATAGGGAAGGCTCCATTTCTCGCTACAACTTATCAAGGATTCAAGGTATACAATTTTTTTACCTTTTATTAATTTTAAATCTGAATGCCATTTTGTAGGATTTACTTACTATTTCTAAGTGCGATTAAGTACTTAATTTTACCTTATTCTATTTCTAATGATATTCATGGGACCATAAACTAAAATAGTCTCAATACTTTATAATAAATTAGATCTTGGAAATTGTAGCATTTATCTCCGCCATGGAGCTATTTTTTGCCCCCTTTTTTTTACGGGGAGTATTAACTAACTGAAAAATTACCATTGAAAAGTCTACATAAATGCACTACTGGATTTGATTTCCATTATTTTTTTAATTGTCATTTTTACTTTTTGTTTTTTTTTAAAAATTAGAATTTAGTTAAGTAAGTCAATTAATACAATTAATAATAACAGGGACAAAAATCGGCTCTTAATTTTTGAGGAGAAAAAAACAATTCAACGTAGAATATCTTGGTAGGTAATGAAAGAAGGTAATCAAAGCAAGTAAGTAGTAAAGTTTATTGTTTTAACCCATAGATTGCCCTTCTTAACTTACAAACTAGTTTCTTTTGACCTTTTACCTCAAAGTTCTCTGGCTGCTCCATATATATGTCTTCTTCCAACAAGCCATGTAAAAAAGCAGTATCAATATCTAAGTGGTTGATTTTTAAACCCTTTTGGACAGCTATTGCTAAGAGGAATCTANAATTATTTTTTCCATAACATATCCATTGAGGCTAAACTGATTAGAAAAGTGTTAATAGCGACCTCATCTGAAAAAAGATGAAATCCTATTTACATTCGTCTTTATGATGGAGGAATGGGGAAGGCTCCATTTCTCGCTACAACTTAACAAGGTATACAATTATTTTACCATATTTTAAAACTGAGTGCCATTTGGTAGGATTTATTTACTATTTCTAAGTGCGTTTAAGTACTTAATTTTACCTTATCCTATTCCTAATGTTATCCAAGGGACCATAAACTAAAATAGTCACAATACTTTATAATAAATTAGTTCTTGGAAATTGTAGCATTTATCTCAGCCATGAAGCTATTTTCCCCCCCCCCTTTTTTTTTACTGNTATTAACTAACTGAAAAATTACCATTGAAAAGGCTTCATAAATGCACTACTGGATTTGATTTCCATTATTCTTTTAATCGTCATATTTACTTTTTGTTTTTTTTAAACAAATTAGAATTTAGTTAAGTAAGTCAATTAATACAATCACTAATATCAATATCGGGGACAAAAATCAGCACCTAATTTTGAAGAGAAAAAAACAATTCAATAGAAATGAAGAATATCTTGGTAGATAATGAAAAAAGGGAATCAAAGCAAGTAAGTAGTAAAGTTAAGTATCTTCTTCAGGTAGAATCTGTCACCTTTCAACTCTCTATTTAAGAAAGAAAATGCCAATATGGATCCCTAAAATTTGCAAGATTATTAATAGCCCTTCACTTGTTTCACCAGTCAAAACTGGTGAGGCAGCCGCAATTTTATAAAAATGAAATTGTTTACTCATCTGTGTTTGTGTTCAACATAGGTATCCTGGGAGCAGCCTGCTCCGGTAAATCTTGACAATTTATCAGGACGTATCACCAAAAATCTAGTCTTATATCCGAAAGGCTCTCCATATGTAATCGAGTCGGATATAACCGTTATGCCCGACACAGAATTAGTCATTCGCCCTGGAGTAGTCATGGAGTTCGCGCCAAGAGTTGGAATACTTGTTTTGGGAACTTTGATCGCCAGAGGCCGCCGAAATGAAGAAATTGTCATGAGGCCTTTGACTAACCGCCCTGTGAATGAGAAACCTTTACCAATCGCCTTCAACAATAAGAAGTAAGTCGCTAGCGTTGAATTATGGAAAAAAATGGATTGCTGATTTAACAATTAAATTGCTTAAAAAAGTGGCAGCAATGTTTCAAATGTACATTTTACAATAGTGGAAAGCTAATTCAACCATTGGCTTGGTTAAATTAGAATTTTCTTTATTGTAAAATCTACATTGAAACATTGCTGTCACATTTTTAACAATTTAATTGTTAAATCAGCAATTTTATTTTTTCCGTGATGTGTTTTTTCCATGAAGATAATAATGTATTAAACTAAGGTTATGCTGAAGACTCTCTAAAAGCGCTATGGTTGTACGCAGTTCTAAATTTATAGGTCTTACGATAATTTGCTCCTATTTCCTATGAGTTTGTTCGCTCTCAGTTATCTGATTTAGTAGAGCAAAAGTATGTCAGGAAATTGTTTAAGTAATGGATCAGGGTTTCAGCCGTCTAAAATATCAAGAAAGGCAGGCAAATTCTAGGAAAGTCAGGGACTTTATGGCAACCCGGGAAAATCAGAAAATTCATCAAAAAATGTAGGAAATTTCTTAAGTAGCTTTTCAAAGAGTTCAGCGTAATTAAAAGGAAGTATCAATGTGGAAGTTGTTCAAAGTTCAAGGGTCAGGAAAAGTAAGGGAGTTAAAAAATTTTTGAGCCAGAAGAAGCAAAATAAGTTGGAAAATTGAAAAATGAAGAAATTAAGGATACTCTGTGTTTGCTAAGTGTCTCAAGCTTGAAATTGATTTGTACGAAAGACAGCAATCATAGAGAAATCGCCTCTCGGATATGAGAAATTTCTAAATGAATCTGTTGAGCTTCCAAAGGTTGTGTGCTTATTGAGAAAGACAGTCCCTGAATAAGATGAGCAAAAATCATAAACCTGAAGATAATGTGCCTCATGTTTAAACCCTATTTAAACGGTCCAAATCTTTTTAAGTGTTAAAAGAACGGAGGGTGAACAAAATTCTGGAGTAATCGTACTTATTTTACAAATAGACAAAAATTGAGGAAGAAATTATCAGTTGTCTTTAAGAAAGCATTAGTAGCATTGATTTTTCCTTTTAACCTAGATCACCCCTTGTTTTAGTTAGTGATAGTTTCATATTTTTTCTTTATTTCCAGATCATACAGACTCTGCCTGGACCGCAACTGCACTGATACAGCTCAGACTGAAGGATTCCTGGAATACTGGAACACAACAACCCTTCAATGGGTGCCAATGTGTGATCCTAGATTCACTGAAAGGAATGCTCAAGTCGTCTGTCGAGAACTTGGTCTGCCGTCATTGAATGCATGGGTATCTCATGGACAGCGTGTAGAATTCCAGCCTAATGCCTTAGCTCGTATATGGTCTTTCCCAGAACCACTTCAGTGTTCAGGTAATTTTCTATAGATTTCTATTCATATTGTTTGTTTTAAACATATTTAAACACTCAATTTACCTATGTAATTTTACCCGAAGAAAATAGCATTGGCTTCATACTGTGGAAGTTAAAAACTCTACATAGATGTGTCCACTACCTTTGCCACTATCATAATATTACTATATAAGATATATTGACTGTAAAAAGAAAGGAATAATGATGGAAGCGCTTTTTCCAATCAGTTTAATTTTTAATCTTTTTTACAGGTGATGAAAATAAGCTTGAAGACTGTCCAACAAGATTGAATGTCGAATCTGTGGAGGAACGCCCTACTTGTGCATGGAATTCAAATTTTGTATTCGTGAAATGTTTGGATGGAACACTTCCAAAATCTCAAGATTATTGGGGAGGAATCAGGTAATTTCATTTCATTAATTGCAAGCTCCTTTAAACCTTTTCTTTTTCAATGTTCTTCTGGATAAATTGCAAGTCCTCAAAAAATTACAAACAAATTTACGCATAATGGCATCTGGACAGGTTATTTCTCTTAGAGTAGACTTAACTTGAATCTATTTCTTAATTTTATTTCATGAAAAAATGTATTGTTTGTCTCCCCTCTATTTTCCTACTTATATGTGGACGTATTTCTATCAAACAGAACTATGTGCAGGTGAGAAATATAGGGTGTGCTCTAGAAAGCTGCCTAAGAAACAATGTGGTCAGTGGGCGTGATTCCTTTTGAAGAATTGGAAAAGCGGTATTTTAAATTCAGCAAACAGAACTGTGTGCCAACTGAATGCAGCATTCATGAGCCGCAGGCGTGGCATGAGAGTGTTGTGGACAGGGCTCATGAGTTAAAGCGCCCCGACCATGATCTCCCCCTTGCACCCGGGCTCGATCATTGCTGCTGACATCACTGGTGCTTTATTATTCTCAATCACTCTCACGGCCAGAGAACTAACGAGCACACCCCATATTTCTCACCTGCACTTAAATCTGTTTGATAGAAATTCGTCCATCTTAGGTTGTAATCAGTATTCATTTCTTTCTCAAATATTAGCATTTTTATTCATTTGAATCTCATCCCCATTCATCTTTTCTCCAGGTTTACGAACAGCGAATTCGAAACGGTCAGCTTTGAAAGTCGAATCCATAACACGGTTACGCATGAAACGGTGACGCATCGAGAATCTGCATTAGAATATGTAAGGATTGAAGGTGCTGGTCGCTTGCATCACACATTTTCACCAGCAATCTTGGCTATCGGACGGTCTCCATCCATCACCAGCACAAACATCACTCACAGCGCATCTCATGGAATCAGTTTCATCTCACCCTTAGAAGATGTGAGGATGCTATTCAACTGGTAAGTTTTCATAGCTTAACATCAATTTAAAAGAAAATGTTCCAAAAAATGGGCCGAAGTGTGCATGCCTTTCCTCTTCTACCCATTTCAACATTTCCATTTGGTTTTTAATTTCCTCAAAAGTGCACAATTCTTTGGACTTAAAAAAAAACCTTTCTGTGTCAGCTGATGATAGTGGCTCGGGTAGCCACCGAAACGCGTCTGATAAATAATCATTAAGTGAAAGCGTGAGTTTTTTAAATTTTTCAAAAGTTTTAATACAACAGCTTTTACTGTTTATAAAAATTTTGATCGTTTTATTAAAACCTCACTGTGTTCTCAAAATCTTCGTCTTCTAGTCAATATTACAATTAAAGCCCTCTCAGTTAAAAAATGAAAGGGCCATAGAAAATATTTACGGAAGCGGCTTTTTCATTTTGAACATAATTTTGCGGTGCAAGTCAAATTTTTTGTGAAACCCTCAACTGAAGTGGCAACTGTACAACTGCGCTGGCATGTGCTTCTGTTAAACAACATGAAATGGCTGTGAATCAATCCACATCAGGTATCCGCATTTTTCTAGATTTGTGTGGCTTTTCATCTTAACGAATGTTTGACAGGGAACTTTTACTGTATTTTCATGTTTTCATTCCATAAATATGATCTCTAGCAGCATCTGGAGTTTTTTTTATTGATTTTAGCACCTTTAATTTTTATGTTAACATCTTTCATTTTCAGGATCCAGTCAAATGTGGGACTCGGAATCACGGTAGCATCGCTGACAGGAGAGGGCCGTGAAAGCTCAGAAAGTTCGTTCACACCACTACACCACGTTCATCTTCCTTACCGTGCATTCAGTATGATCAACATTTGTGATCCGAACAAAGAGCTAGTCATTCAAGAGCGAGTGCTATTGTACTACAAGTATGATAATAGTCCTATAAACTGCGTTAAAATATTTTATAGTGCTCTCGGCATCAAGCCTTTTGGTTTCCGGTAAGTCAGCATGTTAACAGATTTCTCCAGTCTTTTTTTGCCTGTTTCATTTATTTTCATGTTATTTTTTATTTGATTTTTATATTTTAATCATATGTATGTACAAAATACACACATGCTATTATACTTCTTTTCAAGAAATCACAGAGGTGATTAAACAAGTAACTTTTTTGGCAATAACTTTTGAATCGCTGAAGGTAGAGAATTTTGGAAAGACAATTTGGTCGCATTCAGCAGAAGTCTCGAAAAGCGTTTGAGTATTATTTCGGTTTTTTCTGAGTGACTTTTTAGGGAGAAAGATTGAATGGAAAATGGCAATTTTGTGCTACTTCCGCACAAAAATTGGCAAAAAAAAGTTTCTTCCAGAAGAAATAGGTGAAAATATTAACACTTTTGTAGGATTAATCTCCTGCTTTTCAACCATCTTAAAAGAAAAATTAAGATACTTGATCAAAACGGTCGATTATATAGATTTTCTTGAAGAGTAATCCCTTCAAAATTCATGTCCTGCTTGTTTTTATCTTATAATTTCAATGCCATTCTCCTTTGCTTTTAGGTTACTGCAGTTCAACCTGTTCAATACGACAGATTCCCTCCATCTTTATGATGGTAGCATTTACAATGTGAGCGCCAAAAGCTTGGGAAGCGTGTCTATGGATTCTGGCTCCGAGAAGAAATTTATTACAACGACAGGGCCGATCCTGAGTGTCAAATTAAGTGCAACAGGTGCCTCGGAAATGCATGGCTTCATTGCTGAAATTGTCACTCTACCGATATCCGCTATTGGTTTCAGTATGTTGAATTTTTTTTTAACTTTCTCAAGTACTTTCTTTGTAAAATTGTACCTTTACAGTATAAACAACCCAAAAAACAGCTCTTCAATGAGAGACAAAACTTTATGAAAACGTCAAACATTTTTAAAATTAGCGCTTATTTACTACAGCAGCAAACAAATTTTGGTAAAACATTGGTTTTGCTTTGATCTTCCAGCAAATACCGAGGGGGAACAATGTATAAAAACTCTCAGAGTAAGTCAAGCAAAAGATAACCAGCTTTTTGGTTTATTAAAAAAACTTATACCTGCCATTGATTTACATGGACAAATAGGTTTTTTCATTAACATATCTTTGTATTTGGTTCCTTTTGTCTGAATTTGGTCCATTTCAACTGTCTATTCCGAAAAAAATCTCCTCTAAAAACTTTGAACTAGAGTCACTGAAAGCATAAGTTATCTGTTTGATTTGATTAGCCAAATTTAATCTTCCGCACTTGAGTATTTTTGATGTGGTTTCGGTTTTGAAAAGAAGAGTTCTTGATGATGTGTTTCAATGGCATGCAGCTGATTCGTTCCATTTTTCTTCCACAAGGTCTAAGAAAACCATGTTTTGTTATCATAATTTGTTTAATATCTTCAAATTTGTTCACATCTCATATAGAGTCGCCATCAAATTCAAGAAAAACCTTTGAAAATATATTCAGAAAGTAACAAAAGTCTTAAAATATGCTCCCTATTAATATTGAGTGCTCACAATGTAAAATCTTCACGATATTTACTCGGATCCAATTCAATATTTTCCTCCTTTATTTCCTCAAATTTGTATTTCTTGTTGTGTTTTTAGATCGAGACGTGCAGCATAATGTATCATTTTCTGTGATAAAAAGCAATGTTGGTGGTGCTCTTCATTATGCTAGTGCAGGAGAGGTCAATCCTCGCATTACTTTAGAATGGAATCAAATTACAGACAATTGTAAAAAGCTGTTTGGCAACTTTACCACATGTCAGTCAGCAGTAATGATGGAACTCCAGAACACTCAAAACCTTCATTTTAGGGTTAGTAATTTTTCACTTGACGTTCTCCAGTTCAAGTCGGTTTTTCAAAACCTCAACCTCTAATATAGGTTTTAAATAATTGGTTATTGAGTAGTAATGATATTTGTCTCTGGAATAATATTTGAGTACTTGTTGTGAAGTAGCTGAGAGATAGTGGCAGGATAGCCGCAAGTAGCAACAAGTATTTTAAAGCTGTTCTTAGCTGCAACATTTTAATGCTTTTCTGTTGTATCGGCAAGTGCTTTAATAAGAAGCATAGGTTGTCAAAGGTTTCAGCATTAGCATTCAAATGTCATCTATGTGTATTTAGAAAATTCTGGGTAAATAAAGAAATATCCTCTCTACCAACAGACATTCGGTAATAAAATCATGAAAACTAACATATTAGTAAAATACTAAATGTTCAATATTAATGTCTTGTTCGTAGTAAATCTGATGCATGTGCGAAATTTCTTATTCATTTTAATTTCGAATGTTTTCAGAATAATTTGGTTTCAAAAAATCAAGGAGGATTATGGGTAAGAGCAGACTCAAGAGGCTCAGCAACCTCTTTGAAAGGCTGGATTCATAACAACCTGTTTACAGACAATTACAACTTACCTGCCTTAAGTGTGGAAGGGCGTCAATCAAGTCCTTATCAAGAAGTTACCATTTACCGAAACTACTTCACCCAGAATCTGGCTCCGTATCGTAATGTTATCGTCCTGAAGCAGGTAATTTCCTATTATCCACCCAGCATCTGTAGTAGAGTAATGAACTGTGTTGAACAGAAATGCACTAAGGCACATTTTTGAAAAAAATTAATCGGGAGTAGTCCTGAATTCAAATAAAAGTAAAATTTCTCCCGTCAGAAATTCCACGTCAAGGCAAAATATTCCGAAGGTAAAAATTGCCATTGAACTATTCCCTGAAACTTAATGCGACTTCAAGTGTATTTTTCAAATTCCATCCACTTACTTACAGTTTTGATTGGAACTTAGGAGGTAAAAAAGAACATTCGTCCTTCACTTTCATAACTTCCAAAAGTCTCCTATACTGTTCTTCTGATACAAAAGAGAGAATTTATGGTAGCCTGTAATACAATCTCAAAAACGCAGTGAAATTGCAATAAAATAAGTGGGAAACAAGGCTAAAATTTATTAAGAAAATGCAGTACGTTTCGGCTGGCGATCCAAGCCATTATCAACTGCTAAATTAAATACAAAATTAAAAATAAGGCTATAAAACAGGCTTCTAGCACTTGGAAACACTTGTCGCAAAACCTCCTAAATCAGTCCCAATGATCGCGTATAATTTTGTTCTTTTATACTTTTTTTTCGTTTCACAGGTCGTCTCCAACTTCACCTACAATTATGTCCACAACAATTTCGGTTTTCACATTTTGGAAGTTTCTGGTTTTGAAAGAGTGCGCTTACCCATCTATCAAACCACATCGCATAATGGCTTTTACTGGTAAAATTCAAATTTATTTCCATTAACTTTCATAGAGCGTGAAAACTTAGAATTGATGGTATTTGCTCATGAAGTGTGTCAAATGTAACATGTTCAGATCTTGAAGGGTCTTTTCAAGAATAATCACCTCTCAAAATTAAAATTATATGACTCAAAAGCAATTTTTACCCCACTTCTTAATTTTTTTTTTACTTTTTTATTTTACTGTCTGTCTAGTTTTACTGATTTTAGTCGCATTACATATCCAATTATGTTTTCTGTGTCCTTTGTAATCCAAAGACGTTGCATCTCTTTCCATCAGTTTATGTCTCTTTCGATTAATCAACTTACAATGAGTCCTTTATAAAGAATTTACCACAAGATATCCAAAGCCTCAAAGTTTTCTTAATCTTTTTCACCTAAAGGCTCGACCTCTTCACAAAAGTGATTGAACCTCAATCTTTTTCTCAGGAATCAAGCTGCTGAAAGGGATATCAAAGGCACTATCATCGCTGGAACTGCGGGACAACATTATGTGGATAACATCCTGTTTAACCCAGATAATGACTATGAAATTGTTACCGTCAACAGATCAATGTAAGTATTTTGTCAAATAACCCTCCATCTTGGATTCCATACATTATACCTCGCAAGTCAAAATCTCGCCAGGATGCTTGAAATATAGCAACTAATCAGGAATTTCTAACTTTTCAGACCTGAAGCAGAAGGTTCTAACACTTACATTGGTGAATAGTTAAATTGAAAAACATTATTGGCTTCGATTAAAAACACTATTGTGGGAGCTTACTCTCATCTCTAGCAGTCAGGTTAAAAAAAAGAACCTCTATAAAAACTGTTTGAATCCTAATATAGTAGATAACAGCTCTCCAAATAGTTCAACAAATTTATTCATCATTATGAACAGTTTTAATGCGTAAAATGTCCTATAAAGTTTGTAGCCTCTTGTGTAAGAAGGAATAAAAAGTTATATTGAGCCCATTAAAAAGTTTAAGAGAGACTAGTGCTATGTATTAGGAGCATATTTCACACATTGAAGACTTTTAGATTTCTCATGTGTTCCTGATGTATGAAGACGGAATTCATAATCCATTTTTTTAGGATGTTAGATTTTACAAAGTGTTAAATTGAATCCAACAGAACAGATCAAATCGATCTCTAAAGTTGGTAACTCGAGTCAATATTTATACGCATTTATTAGTGTTTCAACGTTTGTATGTATTAAAGAACTTTATATTGCACATCTAAATACCATCACTAACACACATTAATTTTGAGAGGAAGTCTGTAGATAACACTCCTGAAACTTAAATAATATAGAAAGGACTGTATTATTTTTCCGTTTTGATGTTTTGTAAAACTTAATAATGGACAATATTATCACATTTTAATCAATTTTTCCCTTTTTTATGGATGTTTGATGGCTCCAGGGCTGGTTTAGAAAGGTAAGATTGAGTTTCGTCAAATCCAGCACTGCGGAGTTTAGTTCTCAGGTCTTGTTTGCATGAAACTTTAAGTATTTCAGGATGTTACTTGTCCGAATCTCCTTTTTGGGTCTGAATGTTTTCTAAGAAACATCATTACTCTCTTGTAAATGGACGAAATTTTTCTGAAGGAAAATCACACATGCTTATCGGATTCCATTGGAACACTCTCTTCCCCCTCAAAATTGTGTCCGTCTCTACATGGGTGACGCAATCAAAATTCCTTTTAGGAAACAACAAAATCTGCTTTTTTACTATTTATTTTTGTCTGAAGATACTTAAGCAAATCTCATTCTCCAGTCCTGTATCAGATTCTGAAGGCGATAAAAATTCAGTTTTTAGCTGTTTAATCAATGTTTTTTAACCCTTTACCCGTTCATCATAAAACACATAAAATATTCATGAATCTGCAACAAAAAAATCATTAAAGGAGAATTTCTTACCAATTTTGCACAGGCTTTTAGCATTGAACGGCTTCTTTTTCACTACTTATTAATTTTAGCCAAGACGATTTGATTAAACGCCAGATGTCTTCAATTAGGCATGCATATGATTCAATAAGTCATTTTGTTAATTAAGGGGTATTCAGTGAAATCTGTGCAAGAGCTCTCTCTATTTGACTGAGCTCTATATTGTTTTACACAGTGAGAAGTCTTCAAATGTTTATGTCTTGTGTTTCAATGTGCTATTCTTGTCGTTGTCTGAATGGTCAGCATCAGTCCATGCTTTTTCTACACGTCAAGTGCCCACGGGTCTTTGTAGCTTCATACCTTTCTTGTAAAGGACCTTAACTGTGTTGTGTTTTTGTGCAATTGTAAAAATTTTTCTGTATAAATTAGTGGGGGTTTGATTTTTTCTTTCTTTTGTACAAAATATGTATTGTCCTGTGGTGAAAATAGGCGTTATTTCCGTGATAAATATGTCTTATTGTACGGTAAAATTCTCTTTAACGTCCTCATCAATGCTGCTTTGTTATTATTTGCGTGATAGTAAGCCAATGCTAGTTAACTATTCACATCTAGCTTATGAAAATTTACATCATTTTCACTAGCCTGCATCTCGAACTTTTGGCCTCGATTTTTAAAAATTTCCTGGCAGGATTTTTTTTCTTTAATTTATTATTACTTGAGCCTTCGATCCAAACAAAACAAGTGCACTTTTGCCCATGCCATGTAAACTTTAATCTGCTTCTTTGAACCAGCTTTTTATTATAGTCGGAGCCTAAGTTGCTAAAAAAAATGCTTCCTATCTATATCTACATCGAAAAGAAGATGGAAAACTCTCGCTACATTCTTGTTTGGAATTTCTTCAGTTCAGTAGCTTAGGTCAGATCCAGATGGTGAACCCGTTGGTTGAACTTTCGCAAAACTAGTTTAACGAACCAGATTAAACTTAGCTAAAACTACTTTACTGAAACGGCACTGTGTGACGTTACACTACTAAAAATTTGACCATCTGGACCTGGCCTTGCTTTACCAAATCTGAATATTATATTAGAGCAAACTTTTACTTTCAAGATTTCGAAATGAAGCATGAATATTTCACTCATTCAAGCAGCAAATCTTTCAAAAATATTGTTTAATGTTTAATGAAGAGGTATCAGTTGTAAAAATGACTGTAAAATCACTGCATGTTGGCCTGTCAAAGCTACAGTTTATGAAGTTAGTTACTGTCCATTGTTCTTTCAGCTGCAGTGAAATTTTTTGCATATTACTTTAACTGTATATGTATACCTGTGTCCCAAAGATCTTTTGAACAGATAAAACAGTTTACCCAAGGATTTTAATTTCATCAACTTTAAAGCATGATAAACAGCGAATATTTTCATCTTAGCATTACATAATTTCAAGGTCCTTTGAAACTACCGCTAAATACTTTCTTTTGTAATTTGGCTTACGATAAGGGTACTGATAAATCTGTTAAAAATCTTGTGAAAAGATCTTTCCGTCCTCCAAACGTCAAAATTCAGAGACTCTAATTCTAAAACAAAAATGTACCTTTAAATCCATCATTAATTTAATCCTTTGAATGTTTGTGACAATTTCTCTTCTTATCTGAAACAAACAGAATGTTGAAAGAGAAAAAGCCACTATTTTTTTAAACCTAATACTTTGTGATGTCTCCACACCTAAAGAGAAACCGAAGGAATTTTTAAATATAAAAATACGAGGAAATTGAGCCTCGGTTTTCGAATGGTTAGTTTCATTAAGAACCTAACTTTCTGCCAATGAAAATCTCCCTAAATTCGAAGGAATGTATCCCCTGTTTTTCCTCTTACTGAACCATATATAATGTGCCGTCAAATAAAAAAAAATTGGTGTTATCTTATCACCTTCTTTATTTTTCAGTATGGATGTCTGGAAAACTCCCATTGACGCTCGTCACAATTATTGGGGCTACAATGAAACTCTTGCGGTCTCTGGTCGGATCAGGGATCGAAGTGACCAAATCGAACTACTCGAAGTGAACTATCTTCCATATCAGATGAATAATCTATCGATCCTTGACGTCAAGTGTCCGCCTGGTTGGAACTTAGTAGGGGATACATGTTACATTTATGTTGGAGCACCCATGACTTTTTACGAAGCACGCGACTTCTGCAGGGTAAGTTGTGTTTTCTTTTTTTTTCTTTTGTATAATTGAGCTCAAAAGGAATTAAGATCAAATTCTGTACACTGCTGCTCCAGTAGTGACTCGCGAAAATCAGGATATGCTGTCTCATTCATATATCCTGATGATGAAACTTTCATCCACTATATTATTTATAGCCATCATATCATCCCCCATGGTGTTCTTTTAGGAGTAAACAAGCAAAGCACTTTTTGGTAGCCCTTTTTTTTATACACAGTGAACATGTCTATACTAGACCAGCTGTTTGGTCATGACATTGAATACAATCTTTTTCCACTTCCAGGGTCTGACATCCTGTATCATAATACTTTGATGACTTTATTTCAACAATGATTAGGTGCATGCATTAATTCTGTAATCCTTCTTTTCACAGAGTGATAATGCCACGATGCCTTATGTCATGTCAAATTACGTACAGCTGTACCAGTTCTTGCGGCATCAGCAAGCAACATTTAACTATTACGATCATGTCTGGGTTCAGCATATAGATCATATCAACGAGTGCACCTCCTTTGCCTACCAAAAAGTTCAAATCGATCATTGTTTGAGACTGAATCCGTTCTTATGTGAAATGGGTAAGATATTATTCATACTTAGCAAGCGAGTAATCAACTCCATTTTGAGAAAACCAGACTTAGGCTAAGAATCATAATTTGCAACAGTGTAATCCTGTCTTTCTTTTTATTGATAAGTGTAACCACCCTCTTAGGAAAGGATCTCAGTAGATAGAAGCAAATCTTTCAGAAGATTAGGCACAGTTGGTGATTTTGCCATGTGCGATAAATTCAGTATAAAACTTCAGATATCTTCAGGTTTGTAGTACTCTATTCAGTTTCAGAAGAGCAATTTTTCCCTTGTAAAATTGAAAAATTAGAATTTAAAGCTTAGAAATGGAAAACACTCTCTAGCAACCCAAAGGGGTAATGTGAGCATTTTAATTCATTTTTGAGCCTTTTGGCCATGGTTTTTTGACAAGTGGGAAGTCTGAATTTACTTTACACAATGTTAATTACAAACATGAATTTTTCACTCATGGCTTAATTTTGAAAATTGTCTATGTGTTCAGTGTTTTCTGCATGCAATTTTGACAAGAACACATGGCTTTTGGAAGTTGTATCCTGTCCTTGGTCCATTATTTCTTCATCACCCTTTTTTCAATTCATACCGTGCTCAATATCTCATTAACTGAATCTTCTATCTATTTTTCCAGATCCAAAAGTTGTCATAAACTTGCTCAGTTGGCGTGATGACACAGTGACTCTCGCAGTGTTGGGATCTGTAGGACTTTGTTTGTTACTAATTAGTCTCCTTGTCGGTTTCTGGTTTTCAAAATCTCGTCACAGACATATTGAACGCCTAGAGAGGCGAAATTCAATTCGGCAGTCGTTGCAGTCAGTCCGGTCGTTTAGTCAGATCTCAAATGGAGGGTTTCCTGCTGGGGAGGCTTACAAAAGGAAACCTATTACAATGATAGCCGTAAGTTTGAAAACCATTGATCTCACAATAAGACCAACCTTTGAGCATAAATAATGATGTAATCACATATTTCCGTCAAGGTTCAAAACGCACATATCACTCTATTCGCCATTGATAACATTAAACTGTTCATAAATAGCTTTTGTTGAGCCATTAGCTAAGTTGTCTCTAAACGCAGCACACTCGATATTTGTAAACTTCAATGAAACTTGCTAACTGTGTGTTTCATAAGAGATAGAGTCTCTTGAGGATTCTACTCAGCATTATTCTACATTCTGCTACTTTTTAGTAAAGTTCAGTTCATTCTGTAGCGAAAATCAGTAGGTATGTTCATTTTCATAGTCCTAAGGATAAGCCATTTGAAGTGAGTCTTCAGAGAATCAGTGCATTTGCGTTCTGCTCAGAAAACTTTATTGCTTATGAAAACCTGCATTGTTTGTTTTTCCTCAGAAATATCTATAGTTTTCTTCTTTTTCGATTGTTTTTTGCAGAGTCATAGAGATAGTCCTCGCCTTGATAAAGAATTAGAAAAAATGAATGAAAGTGATGATTCAATAGAAAAATCTCAGCTACATTCTTCAGGTGAAGAAGACACCCAGAGCTATGATATTTATGAAGCGCACAATCTGACGGCTGCTGAAGCTGTCAATCCAAGATTTGACCTCGCCTTCCACAATGAAGGTATTTTCAACGATTCTCTTTCTGTTTTTTGTCACTCAAAAATCATTTATTTGCTATTTTATTTGATTGTGAGGATCAGAGTGCAATGATCATTCCTTGGAATGCTGTACTTTGCTTTGAAAAGTTTCGCTTTTTTAAGCCACTGTTCGCTTCCAATTAATTTGCCATCAGTTATCGAAAAGTCAAGACATTTATTTTCAACTATTATTTTATTCTCAATAAATTGCTTTGTATTCTCTTGCTAAACCTGTAGTGCTTGTTGCAGGGTACCGAGATAACTCGACTTTTGCATCGCGTGACAATTCAACTTGGCACTCGACTGATGATACATTCAATGCCAATAGCTCATCCACATTGCCTATTCTCTCCGGCTATAACACCAAAGACCCGCTTCAAACACGCTCAACCCCTCAGGTAATTCCTTGTGGAGAGTAAATCCTCATTAAAACCACATAAGATTTGAAAAAATAAAATATTAACTTTTCTAAAGTAAATTTGAGACTTCAATATCTCAAAAATACCCAAATTAGTCATGTGCTGAAGTTTTAATCAATGAAATAGAAAACTGTGGGAGCCCCTAATCAAAATATTGACCAACAGCTAGAAAAAGAATCACGCGTTTTCCTTCGTGAATTAATATGTATATTATTTCCAGAAACGAATCGCAAAAACTCAGTCTCTGTAATTTCAATCCCTCCTGCTTAAAATCTCTCGCCTGAAAACTCTTCTCTCAGAATGTGAGGATTCTGTGTACAAATGCTGACACACCTGAAAAGTTTTCCTCAAAGAGCTAATACCTACATCCGAGGGCGCCTTTTTTGGAAATTTGGCGAATGAATTTTCTGCCCTTCGAAGGAGACGCGCATTTTTCATCTCAAGTCATCAATATTTCTTAACAGTTGCTAGAAAATAATTTATAATTTATGATGTTTAACCTATAGGAACTATACTCAGTCCCTTACTTTACTGATAACTCAAGTGCAGAATAAAGTTGTTTTATTGTTTACTCTATATTTGAGTAATGGAGAATTTGCATCCAAATTTTTTATTGCTTCATCTGAAAGTGCTTAAAGAGCTGATTTCACAGTGTTTTTTATATTTTATTTCTGATATGGGAAATAGTATAAAAATAGATTTAAAAGTGAGAAAATGCACCGCCTAGTGACATTATCTGGCAGCATTCCCTTTTTAAACACACATATTTTAGCAGATTAGATCATTTTGTCAAATCTTCTCCAATAATTGTTCAATTCTTGAACCAAGGGTATCCTCGTGTTCAGTTCACTCAGTAGTTTCCACTTAAACACGAAATTCATGAAATTTCAGACACCTGCAAATTCTCTATTGCAGGGATGGTGTAAAGATTTCAATGTTATCCCTATTGGCTACAATAACTATCTATTAGTCTCTAACCAGTTACAAAATATATTGGCTTTTTTTTTACTTTAGAGGACTTGTTTTGAGTTTGCTTTAAAAAGATCTTCAAAATTTTGCTGCATGAGACATCTCTAAGCCAGCAGGACCCCTATCTCACTCTTCGGAGATGAAGCGGGATTTTTTTTATTCACCGGTGTTCTTGTTATGTTTTTTTAAATGTAAAACATATGACTTCACCCTTTTGGCCGCATTTTGTGTGCAATGAAGACACCTCTGCTGCATAACCTATTTCTCTTTCATGAATCATTGTAATTTTTCCTGAAAAAAGATGGTGGAATCCGATCAATGTAGGATGTAATGAATGATGTGCAATACGAAGAACTTCAACCATCACATACATTCTGAAGAAACCTAATGAAATAAGAAAAACACCAAGGGGCAAAGACCCTTGACAGTTACCCAAAAATCAACAGCGCCTACAACTCCTCGATTATGGATATGAGATAATTTTAAAAGGTTTCAAATTATTATGCCAAGACATCTCAAGGTCAATTCCATTAGCTCTATTAACTTTTTTTTTATTTCTACAGGTAGCACCACATTACATGGACTACCAGCAAGAGCCAGAGTATCAAATATACTACGAGCGACCGAAAAGCTCAACCATTCTGGAGACGAACATGGACGAACTCCCAGTCCCTCAGCAAAGATCTCAAAGTGAATGTCTCCTAGACATTGACCACAATGCAACACTACCGTCCAATACAAAATTAGTCAATCTAACTTCCTCATTTAAACCTCTCCTAGAAACTAATCTTGACGAGCCTCCCTTGAGGCCGAATATGTCCAAAAGTGAAGATTTTTTAAAAATTAAGTCTCAGTTAAACGGCGATGCCAAAAAGAATGGAGGAGTCATGCCTTTCAAACCAATTTCAGATAAAAGCAAAAGCATGCCGTTTGTAGAAACTTCTGTTTAGTCAGCTAATTCGAAGCGGATAGTTTCTTTAAGTAATGTGTTTACCCAAATTCTACCGACTAGCCTCCTGGTTTGGTAAATACATTATCTAATGTGACCTAAACCACTTAAAGTCTTCCTATGGTCAACTGAGGGTAATATGTCTGAAAGGGGATTAGCTGAAAGAATCCCTTTTTTTATTTAATACCAATTAAAGGCATTTTTGGTAATGCATGGCACTGAGTTAAGTTTACAGCAGTCGGAACAATCAGAAAGTGTAGTACGTATTTGCATGTCATTGCGAAATCTATATTTTCTTTCTCTTTTATCAGAGATATGATCCCCTTAATCTAGTCTCCCATGCCCTCAGATTGTCCTGTTAGACACTAGCTTTATTTTTAATTTCTTTACTTCACTGCTGTGATGCAGAATGGTTCATTTTGGTTTTGTCGCTGATGACTTGAGTCCAAAAACCATAATCTGATTAATTGCTTTCTTTCAGAATTTCTGTTTTCAATTTTTTGCTCAGCATCTTTATTTGAAATTGTATGGTATATTTTGTCTTGAAAGTGATCAAACTTCGATGATTAGTTCTCTCATAGAAAAATAAATTATGAGTGAAATTTTTAACGTTGCAAGTGCTGATTTGTGTTTTTGGATTTGAGTTATCATAATAGTGCTAATTTTAATGATAATTTCCAGCCATTTTTATTTTTTTAAATCTGCTGACTTGTCACCTAGCATTCTATGTACATCAACTCCTACTGATCACTTTTTATTCAGAAGAAATTTGCATCCTATTCTAGCCCTTTAAAGGTCCGCTACAATTCATTATATTTTTCTGGAATTTATCAAACTAGATACACAGGCACTGTAGTACAAGGAATCAATATGTCATTATCTTTTAATCTAATAAACTAAGGTTCTATTGCAACACTCCCTAGTGCTTTCATTGGAGAATTAGTAACATATTTAAATTGAAATGCGAAAGGCTGGCAAGAAAAAGTAAACAACTTTTATGGGTTATGAGTTTTTAAGGTTTAATAACTCTATTTTGTATAATTTTTCTTCAATTGATTCACTGTTAAAGTAATTGATGAAGTGACTGGTTATAATTTCATTCTCAGCTTCTTCCAAGTGCCTGTATCTGTATTTCTGCTTGACTCCATCTTCCTTGAATCTAAAGTGACTCTGAAATGATATCTAAGAGACGTCCGTTAGAATTTTGATCTCATTTAATATTTTGATTTTAGGTAGTTTTATTGACTTTTTCTCAATTGTATTGTGAAAAATTACGAGTAATTTCTTTTATTTGGAAATTTTTTGTGATCACATCACCTGACGTGGAGCAAACTGCATCATGCGTTTCTATGTGTGTCGTGTAAAGACTCATGACTCTGGTCTCTGGTATAGACGGGCGATTTTATGGCATCGTACCGAATTATTATAAAATTCAAATTTGCATAATATTCACTTGTGTTCAGTTGAATTACATTTTAAAGGAATTTTGATTTTAAACTCGACCATCTTTATTTTTGAGGTATAATTTTTTGTGAATTGCTAGAAAAAAATCAATTCTTATTAGAAAAACATCGCTCTGGTCGCACTACCACCAACTTGTCCATGTTATTAGTTTTGCAGCTTCAAATTAATTGTTTTACCGAATTAAATACAAGAGTATGCTTAAGAGATCATTTTTCTTTACAATCAGTCGCAGACACAATTAAATTGCTTCACACGTTTACTTTACTTCAGATTGCCCATCAGCAAGGAAAACAATTTTTATTGAAATTTTCAGCAAATCTTTGGTCCCACAATACAATGTTGATCTGAACTTCCATCATTTTCACACAAAAATTCAGGTTGACATATGTGGAATGTAAAACCAGCGTTTGTAGAACCAGTTTTATTTCTGATGCAAGAGATTAAATCCCTAACTTCTGCAAACTAATCTTTGGACTTATATTCTAATAATTATTTAGTGATGCATCTTACCTGTAACTGTAATTATGAATGATATGGGGTTTTCTTGCTACATATGTTTTCCCCCTTATTATCATGAAGTACGTGTAAGATCAATTTATATTTTTGCAGGTTCTTAATTCTTTTAGAATCAACCTCTGAAATCAGCGGAGGACTTAAAATACTCAATTCAATATTTTTCCGATAGAGCCTGCTTATCGTCTTTCAGTAGTGTGTACATTTTTGCCAGATTTTTTATGAAGATCACGCTTTCCAAAAGAATAAGGAAAGGTATTCTTTATCTTTCTTTCTTTTGTTTTTCTAGTGCTAAGCATTTTTTCTTGGTTACCAGTTTATCCTGTAACTTTTCCGTCCCCTGAGTGTTATAATTTCAGTTGTATTTAAAAATCATCGCAACTTATTCGATTAGGTACAATGTGCTGATTATTTGTAAAACGCCTTATTTTAAACATTTTTGATACTTGATTCTTCTTATTTTTATGTCATTGACTGCTATCTAAAAAAGTGCAATCAACGTCACTGCCATTTTTACTTAATGGTTGCTCCAACTGACGGACCTTTTTCCTGAAATTTGAAAGATTGTGGCACATATTAAGTAGACATATTTGTTTTTACGTGCCTGTAATGGTACAGCAGTAGTGTATAATACTTAATATCTGTAATAATTAAATTCTGATGGTGTATACTTACAGAGCAGTTGTTCCTTCAAAGGATATTGGTACGTTCCTTCCTCATGTTCACCATTTGACGTAGAAAGAATTTAAAAATATTTTTAATTCAAGTCATCATCATAGTTGCTGACTGTATGTAACAAGTAATTTTTAGTCAATTTTCAATTTTATACTTTTCAGTGATGTAAATTTTATTTAGCTCAGTAGACTTGCAGCAGGTCAAAAGACTGAGAAGCACCTTGCGCTACTTTTACAATTAAGTTCCATTTTTCATTGGCCCATTCATTTCCATGTTTCATTTTTCTACATTCCATTGCCTACTTTCTGCACTCATCACATGCCTTCAAAAAAAAGTGGGGCCTTATTTTTGTATATCATGTAAATATTCCTTGAAAAACCACGTCACACTTGTAAAAAATGTTTCTTACCTTGTACTATAATGTTATTTAGTTATTTTTGTTAGTGACCAAGTGTTAATTCGCCTTATCTATTTGAGGTTAGCCAAATGATCCAATATTCAGTTGAGACTAATTGTTTCTAAAATAACAAAGGGATAGAGCAAAGGTTGCTGGAATGCAATGAGGCATTATTTATTAGGCTGTTTTTGCGTTGTAATCTTTACATCAATGAATGGTTTGAGTTCGATTCAAGTTGAATCTAGGGTAAATAGCTCCATGTACCAGCACCACTTTAATGAATGGTTAATCATAAATTGTATTCGCTTTATTTTAAAAAAATCAGATCGATAGAAAATAGATATATGTCTCAAAAGCGCATGACTCAATTATGAAGTGAATTGGCCTACAAAATTAAGTCTGAAGTACCGTAGAGAAAACAGAATCAATGGATTGTCTTAATTGATCAATGAAATTTAAATGGCCATACTTTTGACTTTATTTTTGGTTTGATTAACTTTAAACTTTAATCATATACCCTCGAGAAATCGATTTCAATTCGATTTTGTAAAATTGTCCCGAATAGAATTTATAAATAGTCTTAAATTTATGTGGTGGCATTATTAGGAACCATTTACCCTAGATTCACATTGATTTTTTGTTGAAAGAGAATCCTTTTTCATGTTTTTCTTTAAGTTTGTCTGCTGGCGATAGCAGTGCTTTGTGATATTCGTTGATCAGTTCAAAAATTATGAGTTTAATAGCTAAATTTAGTCTGAATGAACGAACTTTTGCTCCTCTACCTTACGGTATACTTACCTACTGTATCCCTTTTCCCATCTTCCTAATAGTCATATTTTTCTTAAACTGAATGCTTTAGATTCTTCTAAAAAATTTATTTTCTTAAGAACTGTGATATTCATTTTTATATTTTCCAAGTCTTGATTACCTTTTAGCAGCTATTTTTTAAACCTTCGATGACACATTTGATTGTAGCACACAAAAATTTTTCTATTCATTAAGTTGGCAATTTGCTAAAGTCAGAGAAAAATGTATGAGATACGTTCCTTATCACTATTCAAAGTTTGAATTATAATCAAACAATACCCAACTGAAATATTGATCCAGAAACAAGATTTTTAAAACATTGTGTACCTAGAGTGACACTTGATGTCCTCTCTTTCTCAGAGGAGCTTAGAATCTCAGAAATCCGAGTTGCAGTACTTACTTACCCCGCTATTTTTAATCTGGAGCAATTTCCTTTACCTTTTTGACTATCGTCTGTATTTATTCATCACTTTACCTTTGCTTTGACTCATGTTGTCCATCCTAGTTAGGAACTCATAATTCTAAAGCAATTGTTACTAATTGTGTGTTTACAGTACTCTCTCCTTGCAGCAAATCTCATGAGACCAGAAGATTCACCCGGTATTGAGAGAGATCTAGTCGATAGAGGGAAAAATTCATGTATTCAATATAGGAAGAGCCCAATAGATTTATCCACTGCAGAGTTTTCCGTTACGGAGAGGACCGCTACAAAAAGAGAGTACTGTACTTCCATTAATGAATTTTTGTCAAATTTGATCGAAGGTTTAATCCTGGTATTCTTTGTAACTGAATGTACCTACAAGATTAAGTTACAAAGACCATTTTATTTGTAAATTTTTCAATTGTATAGTTTTGTAATTCTCTGTTTTGTAATTAATTTTAAGCATGTCTATAATTTTTTTTACAATAAAAATAAAAAAGAACACTCATAAAAACTGATTTTATTAAATGTTCTGCACCTCAACTCGAAATTTTTAAGACAATCAGTGAACTTTGTCTTCTTTAGGTTCTTTTTCCTCAGATGGAAGAACATTCAAAATTCTCTTCAACCTCAGCAAAAAATGCAAAGGATGAAAGACCCAAAGGCAGAGACTATCTTTTTTCCTGTTATCCTTTGCCAAAAATGTGTAGCAACACTAAGTACGAGGAGAATGTTGAAGTTAATTTCTTTCAACCCACTCAACAATTAGACAACAATTTAGGCAAACAATGGCTTTTATTCTATTTGCTTCCATGTACTGGAGTCCCTTTTCCTATGGATGGTCTTTTATTTTGGTGGAAAAAACTATATACCTCTTGATAGCTGTTTCAAAATTTCACTTTTCATTCTTCTTTAATGTTCCGTCCATTTAATTATTGAATTGTTAACTTGTAACTTATTATTTAAAAAAAAAATATGTGAATGATAATTTTATANGCCCATTTAGGCAAACAATGGCTTTTATTCTATTTGCTTCCATGTACTGGAGTCCCTTTTCCTATGGATGGTCTTTTATTTTGGTGGAAAAAACTATATACCTCTTGATAGCTGTTTCAAAATTTCACTTTTCATTCTTACTTAATGTTCCGTCCATTTAATTATTGAATTGTTAACTTGTAACTTATTATTTAAAAAAAAAATATGTGAATGATAATTTTATAAGAACTCTAGTTTAGATATTCTTTTTCAAGAGGCGAAGAAACATTCTGAGAAATTTGATGCCATGAGAAAAAATGGGTCATCCTTCTAAACAGTAAAATTTGTGTTCTGAGAAATTTATTTATAGTTTCACCATCAAAATATTTCTTTTCGGCTGTAAGATATCCAGTCTGCAAACAAATTGCTCAATTTTTTGAGTGAATTTAGTACTTTATAGGTGGAGAGATGAAAGAGCTTGATGCCAAAACGGCTTTTTTCGCCCCCCTCTGGAATTTCTTCAGACTTTGTCTATTGATTACTCATACTTGAGCGCTTCTTTTCCCAAATTTTCAGACCCCCAAAAAATTTTGGGGGGGAGCTAGGGGGGTTGGAAGTCAAAACCTGTGAACCTCCATATCTCTCGAACGAAGAAAGATATCGAGGTCCGGTTTGGACGAAAAATCGTCTAAAATTGCATACTTTAAGATTCTAAAGGTCGAAATCCCGATATCGCATTTTTAAGTCAACATATGTGCTTTTTTCCAGTTTTTAGGTCTAGATAATTTCTTTTAAACGAAAAATTTACAAAGATCTCAATTTTTTATTTGAACCAAAACCAGTTTTTTAAATTGTTCGTCTTTTTCCGCATCCAACGAGTGGTCCATTAAGCTGGAGAACCAAACGGTTCCGGAGTTATGATCGATTGAAGTTTCCGCTCAACGCGCGCCGACCGATTTTCGCGCGCAAAAAAGTCGGATTTGACTGTTATTAAATCAGATTGACTGTTCAAACTGAGCGAAATGCATTATTAGGGACTCTTGAGGGTCGCTGAGTTCAGAAATTACAGATACCTCCAAAAAATTCACGTTTTTAAAATTACAGCTCTGTAGCGCTATTTTAGAGGCCTACTGAGCGCCGACCGGCCGCTCAGTGGTCCTGTACGGAGCTGTAATTTTAAAAACGTGAATTTTTTGGAAATATCTGTAATTTCTGAACTCAGCGACCCTCAAGAGTCCCTAATAATGCATTTCGCTCAGTTTGAACAGTCAATCTGATTTAATAACAGTCAAATCCGACTTTTTTGCGCGCGAAAATCGGTCGGCGCGCGTTGAGCGGAAACTTCAATCGATCATAACTCCGGAACCGTTCGGTTCCCCAGCTTAATGGACCACTCGTTGGATGCGGAAAAAGACGAACAATTTAAAAAACTGGTTTTGGTTCAAATAAAAAATTGAGATCTTTGTAAATTTTTCGTTTAAAAGAAATTATCTAGACCTAAAAACTGGAAAAAAGCACATATGTTGACTTAAAAATGCGATATCGGGATTTCGACCTTTAGAATCTTAAAGTATGCAATTTTAGACGATTTTTCGTCCAAACCGGACCTCGATATCTTTCTTCGTTCGAGAGATATGGAGGTTCACAGGTTTTGACTTCCAACCCCCCTAGCTCCCCCCCAAAATTTTTTGGGGGTCTGAAAATTTGGGAAAAGAAGCGCTCAAGTATGAGTAATCAATAGACAAAGTCTGAAGAAATTCCAGAGGGGGGCGAAAAAAGCCGTTTTTGCATCAAGCTCTTTCTCTGTTAAATAATCCAAGAATGTGGAATATAACGAGGATATTGGATACACACAAAGAAAAATAGGTCGATTTTAGAACAAGTAAATTTATCTATAAAAATAAAAGAATGAACAACTAGAGATAAGACATATCTACACACATGAAACATATCTATAAACTTGCTATTAGACATTTTTACTCAGGGTGAGGGGCAAACCAATGATAGAGCACATTTTACTTCATTCACTTTCTCTTCCTTGGCAGTAATAATTAATGAAGTCCAGGCACTTCACTTGTGATTAAGTGAATGGTCAAATGCTACATGAGAAATGCCTAGCTACAGAATAAGATGACTTTACCCAAAACAGGGGCAGACTTCTTTTCCAAAGAAATTTTCTGTCCCATTATGAAAACATTACAGGGATCTTGGAGACAGATAACATATGTCACTTGCTGAAAAAATTCTTTTTCAAATTTCACTTAAGATAAAAACCCACTGCCTATCTACTATATATGAACATATATACAAATAAGTTTAATGTAAGCTGCAAAACCCTCTAATATACTTGATAACAAGAAACTAGTCAAAAAATGTAAAGTTACTACTGTGACATTCAAATTTACCTATATTTTTCTACATTCAATGTCAACATTGCAACAGTAATTTACACTAATTGAAAGGTAGTCAGCTTCATGAGAAAATATAAATGGGAACCATGAGTTTGATGATCAATAGAGGAGCAAGACAATAAAAATGAAACTTTTTTCAATTCGATTCTCTTATGGTTTTTATGTTTCATTTCTTGTAGAACAACATTGATCTCTGGTCATAAATTGTTACAAGGCGCATCAAGCCACCTTCCGCCAAAAGCGCTTTATAGTGAGGATAGGGAGCACTCCATTAGCTCCCTTCATAGATCTGACCAGATAGCGTCTGATCAGGATAAAGGAACCAACTAAGTGATTTCATACATTAATGATAAACAGCATCACTGAACAATCGGTCTTAATGTACCCACTTTGCAATCAGAATGCTTTTGATACCACATCAATAGGTCGTAAAACTAGGTTGCAAAATTCATCAACTTTTATTTGATGATTCATCTTCTTCTAGATAAAAAAAAAAAAAACCGGTCCAACCCATCAAAATTCCAACATCTAATAAAACATGAGTTATCGCCCTTTGAAAAAATAAAATGTATGCATCATCGATGGATGAATGCATGGTTAAGGAAACCATAGGATACACTACCGGTGTTAATGGCGTCAGTCACTTTGATTTGTGAGAGACAATATTTTATTTAAGATGGAGAATGAGAAATTGGCGTTCCAAAATGTTTCCTTATTTTTGGTTCATCTATCAGTTTCAACCTTCAAGACTTGATTCTATGATTTGCATAATACTCATTGACTAAGACAGGTGCCGTTTGAATCTTCTCAAGCAGTAGGAAAAGCACTTCAGAAAAAGTTCCATTGGGTATAAAGAATATGAGAATGAAAAGCTGAACTTAAATTCAACTAAACACTTAAGTTTAAAGACTACATACAGGGATAATACAAATGTATAAAAAGATAACATGTCATTCACACAAAGTTTAGAAAAAACAAAGAAGGGAAAAAAATAAAGAATTCATTTAATTACTGTCTGTGGAGCTTATCCCTCCCAAATGAACTTGATTTTTTCACATAAGAACGATTATTTTCATTGAGAATTGTGGAAAACACATTCAACTCTTTAAAGAGAGAACTGCTGAAGTTTCATGATAGATTAGGAAAGATGTTAAGCTCCAGCTCTGCTGCATTTGAAAAGCATAACATTTATTTTTTCTTACTCAAAATGACGAAGAAAATTGATTTATGAGTCCCCAAAAGCTGGACTCACTTGAAATGATACTATTAGCGGTCTGTAATGACATACGTAGGCGAGAGAGTGCACATTTGCTGATTGGCTGAAGCCCAGCCGAGGACATGACCTGGTTCCGATATCACAACTGTCCGCTTTTGGTTGGTCAAATTTTAATCAGCTTCTTTTCCTCTTAAAAATTCTTTTTTAAAATTTTCATTGGACTCTTCGATTATTTTAGGAAAATATTGTATAGAGCAAACAACTGTCAGGAAGGATGCAGAAATGTTATGCCACTAACCCATTGGAACTTGGTAAGTCAGCTGGTTCAACATCGTTGAAGTAAAAATATTTTGATGACAAAATACCAGAAAAATAAAAATATCACAATTCATGAGATAATGATCAGAGGGATAGAATAAAAAACGAGGAATAACCTGTGACTGAAGGGAGGGGGGGGGGCTTACATTACAAATTTATAAAATTGAGGGTTTGAATGACTTAGAACTACACATGTTTCTTATTCTTTAACAGCCCACTTTAGAAGATAAGAGAAAAGGAAAAAACTTTAAAAAAGGAAGTCAAAGATAATAAAAGTAACAAAGACAAAAAATTCAAGTCACTGCAGGAAAAATGACCGTTTCCACTTCTTAAAAGGAGAGCAAAACTAGAACCTAAAAAGACTCATTACGTGCTTGTGAGGTAATAAAATTAGTTTAATTTCTGACTCTTCTCATGAAAGATACTTAAAAATGCCATCAGGCTCCAAAATGACTTGACTTAAGGCAAGGGTAAGCTGCATGAGCTTTAGCAAAATTGTAAGTAGTTAGAATCTGAAGGCTACTATTAAACAATTGCTCTTGCTTTAACAGTTTATTTTCGCAATAAATTATCTAGAAAAATAGTATTTCAACAATCAATGAATTTTTCCAAAACTGATGGGTATTCGCGCACATCTGTAAGGCAGCGATATCCTACACTACATTGACAGCAGTTCAAAAAGAGGACTCTTTTAGTGGAAAAAGTCAGGAGACTCGGGAATTAAGAAAGAGTGCAACTAAACGGGCCATGAGATAAGGTCTAAGCTGGAAAAGACCATCAACTGATTTCTCTTCAGAATCTTGGAAATGAACCCCTGCATGGTGTGGTAACAAGTATTTTTAGCACGGATGAAATGGAAGTTAGATTGTGGTTGGATTGTGCAAATGATATCATTTGTATTTTTGCCATGTAACCAATTTTGATTTTATTGTAAACAATTACATCTTGTTTAGGAGTTGATTTCTGGACTACCCGTTGTGTGATTCGTTTTCCTCATAAAATTTTTAAGAGAAAACATGTTGTATACATGTTGTTGTACATGTTGTCTTAGGGTCTCACCTTGTCTAAAGGCACATAGAATTTTTCTTGCAAATTATTGCTTCTATTCCTATGCAACAAGAGGTTGAGTTTTTGCATGCGTCAACCATGAACCGCGCCTACTGAATTCTTGCCTGCAATTAGAGTAGGTATACGGTTTTTCTCCTGTATGAGTTCCTCCCTCGTTTAAGGAGCTATTTTTCTGACTGAAACAGGCTCCGTAACGATTGCAGGCAGAAGGTATTTCCCCAGTATGAATCTTCACATACCTTTCTAAATTACTTTTCCTGTTGAAAAGTACAGGACAAAAGATGCAAGAGAGGGGTTGATGTTTTGTGTGGGTTCGTTCATGAATTTGTAACGCTATTTTTTCACTAAATTTCTCTTTACATCTTGTACACTCGTAAATTTTCTCATTGATCTTTTTTTCATTCTTTTGTGTTTGTAAATGCATGCTGAAATCAGTTAATGGGGCTAATTTGGCCTGGCAAAGCTCACAAATGAATGGTCCTGAATGCGACTTGAAGTGAAACACTAAATTATCGACGGAGGTAAATTTAGCATTACGCAAGTTACACCCACATACTTTCAATTCTGTGTGTTCTTGAGAAAATCCTTCAAGACGACTCTGACTACTAAATTTTGCTGCACTTGATTTGCAGTCGTAAAACCTCTCTGCAAGACTGGAGAAGTGCGTGCTCAATTGGCTCTGTTCTTTGAAGATAATTTGACAAAAATCACATTTAAAGTCGTATTTATCTGTAAACAGCTGAGCATGCTGGTCCCTGTCAGTTTCATTTGCAAACTTCGGCAAACAGTTAGCACATGGAACCAATCTACTGATGTGCGATAAAATGAGCTTCCCTAACAATGAAACAAAATAGGAAAAGCAAATTTTACATACAAACGGGTTTGCATGTGCTGTTGAATGATTATTGCAAGAATGAAGATTATGGACTTTCATACTACAGTACATACAAGAATGAGGGCAATAACAGGTCTCGGAGTGAGTTTTAAAATGCTCTCGTAGTAAAGATTCATTGGTGAATTCGGGATCACATTCGTGACAAAAAAAAGTGTTCTCTTTGCACAATCCTGGTGATTCTTTGCTGTCCAAGGTTTCTTTTTTTGAACAGGCCTCAGATTTCTGAACAGAGACAGGGCTATCATCTTCTGCACCGCAAGAGATCTCTTTGATTAGTCTTTCTGTTCCAGAACAGTATGGCAGGTGCTTCAGTAGGTCCTGGGGTCCTTTGAAATTAACGCCACAGTTCACACACCAAAAACGATCCATTGAATTCACTCTACCTGGGTTGCAAAGATGTATTTTGAAATGTTCATGGAGCTCAGATTTTTTGTCAAATCCTGCCGAACACCTATGACAATTATAATTACTTTCCCAGTATTCGTCTACTTGAGCACCCCCACGAAGACCATTTCTACAGCTGGCCTGATCTCCTTCATCGTTTGTTGGTGAACCATTTTCCTCAGCCTTGGCTTCTTTGTCAAGTGCATTGGTAAAATTTGCAGGGCAAACAAGAATGTGTTCATTGAGATCGTTTTCCTCTTTATGCTTATTTCCGCAATACATGCAAAGAAAATGAAGAGCATCTGATGCAACACGTCTGGCGACTCTTTCTATGTTTGCTGGGTTGAAATTACTTGATTGATGAGCTTTAATAAAGTGCTCCCGCAATGCAGCTTTTTCCTCAAACTCTTCATCACAATGGTAACAGGCATAGCGTACAATCGCTCCTCCTTTCTTTATTGCCTTATTCTCTCTTGAGTCTATTGAACCACTGGTTAGTGATGCTTCCTGTAAAGAATTCAATCTGGTTTGACTTCTTGTTTGTTTGGCAGCAGGATTTTTCCTGGCGGGTCTTAGCTGGTAGTTTGCTCGGCGAGTCCTCTCGCTGGATGCTTCCGCAAGAGCTTGCTTACGGGCCTCAGCAGCCTTGCGAGCTGGTGTGACCTTGCGAGCTTGAAGAGCCTTACGTGCCTCGACAGCTTTGCGAGTCTCCTCAGCTTTGGCTGCTTCAGCTGCTTTGCGTGCTTCAGCAGCAGCTGCCCTTATTTTATCTTTTTGTAGCTTGACAGGACAAAGCTTGATGTGTTTGTTATAACTGCCTTCCTTCTTGTACTGTAATTTGCAGTGTGGACAAGAAAAAGAGGGATCCTCCTCGAAAGTCAGTCTAACTCCCTCTTTTGATGGTACACAAGTTTTAATATGGAACCCACGAGCACACGGTGTTTTAAATTTTAGACCGCAATACATACAAACATATGGATGATCACCTGCTGCATTCCCTGCAGCATTAGCTTTGGCAGCACGACAATAAGAGAGATGCTTCGAGAGATCACTCATTCGCCGAAACTGATCAGCACAAAACACACAGGTGAATGTTTGTTCTGGCTGTTCAAGCAGATACTGGGTCAAATCAAGGTTTGTAAGACTGCTGCTGGTGCCTGATGGGCCAGGTGGCGGATCAACTGAGTTGATAAAATGGTTCCCAAAATCTAACTGACTCTCACAAAAAAGCGAGGGATCCGTAGGGTAGCCTGCTGAAATGTATGCAGGGTCAACCTCACCTTGGTTAAGTGCTTCATCCTCTCCGTGATTCCCTCCAATTGAATCGTCTCCTTGCTGATTCTCTTCATCCTCTGGGAATTCGCATTTGACTTCCACGAAATCGAGGGCAGTGGCCATCACTAGTAAAAAGCAGCTGAAGTTCCCTTAGTTCGTTACTGGCGACTGAAAAAGGAGATAATTTTTGTTAAGAACCAGAGAACAGAAATCACAAAAGATAAAACAATTGATAAATAAAAAAAATAAATTAAAATGAATGGTTATAAAAATGAAAGTTTAAGTTAAGGATGATACAAATATGTGATTTCCATGGAGACTTTGAATTCAAACATACTGCTGACTACATAACTCGTTTCATTATGCATTATAAAACCTGGTTTCTAATGGGCACAGCCAGATTTCAGGTTATTGCCAGCCAAAAAGAAGGAAGTTCTTTTTTATTCTTTTTGCTGAGCTTCCCACCTTGAAAACATCAGACAAACGACATTCTCCAGCTCGACTCAAAAGCGCAGGGTCAGGCAAATGCTCGCCCTGCCCCCCTTCAAATGGCACCATTAGCATTTCTGCAATACAGAGATGTTGAAGCAATATTTTTAAGCAAAGATTCCAAATACAGTTGAGCTTGGGACTTGTTACCCCTGAATACTAATGTATGTTTTAACTTCATTGGGCGCCATGTACAAAATGAGGCTATGATGCCTGAAAACTCAGAGTACTAGCCAAACATGGCACCTAGAAGGAAGAATTCACCTGCCACAATTTCTTGAAGCAGCAATCGCATTGTACATTCTTCTCATCATTACGTACATTCTCTACGAGAGAGATATGATAATGGCTTAAAAGGCACAACAGCAATCGATGCATATAAACAACTACCTTTGTGATTATTCTTTTCTAGTACCTGCCAAATTCAGAAGTACTAAAGAAAATTATTTGATATAAATGAGGCAGATACATGACCAAATTTATATGGCTCTGCAGTCTAGGTCGGCAAAAAACGTGTGAAAAGAAATTTGGAGGCACCGCTGTGAACACCCTGCCATCGGAAGGGCAGCGCAGCAACATGGCGATTCCATCCAGAAAAAGCAAAATAATGTCTCATAACGATCGAAAATACATGACAAGATGCTGAGTCCCTGCATAAAAAATGTGTTAGGTATGCAATTTACAAACGGCAAGGCCCCCTCCCTCCTCCCTAGACAACAACAAGTTGTGAGGGCGGCAAAACCTTGATGGACTAAGGGCGGCAATGACGTAAATCCGGCCAAGAATAAGCTGGAACCAAAGATATTGAATCATGTAGACCGTGCGTCCGGCTCGGTTTAGTACAGGCGGAGCTAAGCAAGTCTCTCGGAGCTCCATGATGGGCGGGTGGGGAAGGGGAGAGAGCGTGTGTCCCACGCACTCCAAGAGACTGCAGAGAGGCAATGGAGAATTCATTCCCGCACTCGGTTTTTCACGAATATCTCGTTTAGAGTCCATTTTCAGAAAAAATCCCTAAAGAGAAAAGTTTTAGAACACATAATTTAACACCCGACTAGCATTGTTTCATTTTTCCGAAATATTTATTGGCCGAGGAAAAAAGCCGCACAATCCGACAAAAATTCACTGGAGCTACTGCGCATGCGCAGATATGCACAATTGGGACACATGAACTCATCAATGCGGGTCGGTGCCACCACTCATCGGCACGCGAATTTTTAAAAGTTGTCTCGCCCTCCGTAACACAGGATGCACGGTCTACATGATTCAATGTTTTTGGCTGGAACCTACAAGGTGTCCCTGCGAGTTGGATCAGGTGTCCGTTCAATCGAACTTTATCACTCAAATATGTCCAGAAAATGCAAACCGCGCTTCCCCGGTAATTTAGCTCAGGGGATAATGGGTGACCATCAAGGTGAGCGAGATATGAAGCAAATAGATCTCCCGACAAAATTTATGCAAAGACACTAACTCACTGATTTACAAATTGAATTAAAGTTACCACCTATGCTTGGATGATAAAGCCCTCTCTACCCTTGATGGAAAACTATCTAAGAATTCAGCGCTAGAACTGGGGAAGGAAAAGAAGAGATAAATGTCACATCCAAAAATTGCACCATTCAACGGATGTGTACACGCTAATCAATGGGCCAACTGATGAATGCATCCAGACTGATGTGACTATCGTCTCTTCTTTTCTTTCCCCAGTTCTAGCCTTGCTCGTCTCAGCGCCCCTGGGCTACACAAGTGGTCCACACTGAAGTAAGAAAAATAGAACCTAGCGCAACGTTTCTCATCATGGGACGTACTGATCACGCTGATTTCACTAAAGGCCAATGAGTCTTCTGATCAGCTTGTCAAATGGAGAGACTACAGGAGGACGATCCTCTTGACCGCAGACCTTGATGTCTAATGGGTGAAGAGAGGAACTCCTGTGGTCAGTGAGTATGGTGATTGAAGGGTGTATAGATTAAGCGAAGCTTACGTTAACGTGAGGAAAAAACAGAGAGAATTTATCATCCGGCGATGAGAGAAGGAGAAAATCCAAAAAATAGCGAGAGATATATTAATGCAGTGGAGCTCCAAATGAAACGAAGAGGTTATGTCATTGCTTCGTCTTACCTTATTACCACTAGAGTAACTCCTGCATTTTTTAATAACTACCAGACTTGAGACACCAATGCGAGCTTGAGACATTACAGCTAAGGGAGAAAACAAAATCACTAAAGGAAAAATAGGAAAAGATTTCCATAATCTACTTTCACTTTACTGCGGATTGTCCTTACATTTCAATTTTCAACCATAAACAAATCGAAGTATACGCGCTCTACAGCGATAATCTCAAACTATTACAGGGGTGTCAAAAGAGCCAACCAATTTTTTCAAGGAAAAGAATAAATAAGGATTGGCGAATATAATTTATGACAGCAGAAAGATTGAAATCTTGAAATTTCAATACAACTGCATTCTTGAATGATTTTTCAATCATTTCATTCAAAATAACTTCACAAAACTGACAAACAACCAAAATTAATCAATCGATGGCACGTTCAGTTCTGAGGCAGTGAAAAATCATAATGTTGTCAGTCATAAAAAAGCGCGGTATTCAAATATTGCGCTCCGAGGGCCGACGAGCGTGTTTGCCTGAATAGATTATAAACTCTCCTTGTGGAAGAGTTCAATTGATTCGAAGCTTTCGTTTTTTGCAAAATAGAGAATGAAACAGGAAACAAACGCTTGAATATAAATTAAATCATACAAAAGAAAAAGTGGAGCGCGCTAAGGAGAGGATTTCGGAATTTCTGATGTGCCCAAAGTGCGAATTTTTCGAGCGAATTTACCTTAAAAGTGTATTCAGTTGGATATATCTTTTGCATACAGCCGACCCATTCACGGCATGGTACCACTGTCAATTTTTCTCGATCTTCGATAAGAAGAAAAATCTCGAGATCAGTGTTGAATCCTAAGTAGTAGTCGAAGTCTCGATGTTAGTAGTAGATCCTAGGCGCTGGATCAATTCAAAGACATTGAATTGCGCGTGGTCCCGAGGCTCCCCGCGGGATTCACCGGGCTCGGGAGATTTTCTCATCAGAAAATCCCACTTGGCGGGTCATTCAGCGGCCGGTGTGCTGCCAGCGCCAAACGTGCGCTGACGCCTACAAACCTAACAGGGATACTTCACGCATTGCGCAATGCGTGAAGTATCCTGTTAGGTTTGTGGGCGCCCATGCGCATGGAACGCTTGTTGCCCGTAGGCCGCGGTCGCGGAGTGCCACGTCGCTTCAAGCAACTATTTCACGACAGAGGTTCACAAAGAAATTCAAGGCGCTCCAACGTATGAAGAATGACAGGCATCCTTTAAGAAAACAGAGCTACCCTCGCAAAATAAATCAAGAGACTACGGCACAAAAAGAGAGAGGTAGTCCAAAAAACTCACCGAGTCCTAGCATCCGTATTTAATAACGTTTGGACGTCCGGAATCTCCGGCGAGTCTCGGGACCAGGCGCAACCGACTCTGCGCCTCAAACTACGTAGAATTCGACTCTTTTCTCAAAATTATTTTCCTCCTCCGAAAATCGGGAAAAATCGATAGGAGTACCATCAACTATGCGCGTAGTTTTGATCCCTTGGGGCATCATCTAAAAAACCTTCAAATTGGCTCAAATTTTGTAGAGCCTATTATTTTCATAGATAGAACCGATTGCCACCCGGACCTCGTCGAAAATCCTACATGACGGAAAAAAGCCGCACCCTCAGGGTACTATGGTCTAATTTTTGAGGGTCAAAATCGAGATAGTCCAGGCAGATTAGCTTTTTACCTCGGACAAATTAGCACAAACTTTTCCTTTAGTGTATAGGGTCTCTAGAAGCAGGGGCGACAACTTATTTGAACTACACTATTTACAATTACTCTTCAATCTTATCAACTTCATTTGAGGGGCTTGGATGACAAGATGCATGGGTGTAGTTTTTCCCATTGCAAGATACACATGTTCAAGGTTTCAAAAATTACATGGAACCTTATGGCAGAAAGAAAGTTCAAACTCACCTCTAGATGATTAAAATTTTGATTTTGGTAGTGAGTTTTTGACAGAATATATTTATTGCAACTTGTACTACAAAAACTGCACAACGACCTTCGAAACTGCAACAATTTTCTTTGCTTTGCTTTTTATCGGCATAGCTGAAAGGAGCTGGCTTAATTTCACCGAATAACAGGCGTAATCCTGTTTTACTCCCTGTTTTAAAGAAAATACCAAATTAGCAATGTTTTACGGACTTTTTGCAGAACAGTACATTTCATGTCCCAGTAAAGGTATTTACTTTTTGAAGGATAGGTAGCCAACATTATTAACTTGTAAATTTATGAAAATTATAGCAATTATTTTCCTCAAAACTTCTCCTTTTGCTGTTTCCCCTTAAGTAAATAAAACGGAAGGGGAGGGGGGGTGTTCAGGATTGAACTTAATGAAAAAAACTTAAATTTTCAACAAAAAATTTACTTAATCAAAAAGTCTTAAGCAACACTCATTTACATCTAATATCACAACTAGCTAAGAAAAGAGACATCTACAACAAAGGTACGGATTTGCATTGGATGGAGAACAACTTGATAATCTGATGAGGCTCCAGCTGGGTTGGCCTGGTGGATTGAGTTCTTTTCATCTCCATCGATAACCTGGTTGGATTCATGCAACCATTTCAGTCTACTGGACTCCTCTGACCATTGATTGGCACCTAAAGTTGTCTCTTTGACTGAATTTATTCTAAACGGTTTGAATAATTTCTGAAACATGAGAACAAATAGATTAAGTACCAGATATATTAATCGAGTTCAACCCTTACTTTAATTTCCGTAGACTTAAAAATACCTTACTTACTTAAATATTCCTTACTTAAATTTTAATTAGGGATGATTCCTCACAAATTAGAGGGGGCTTCAAAAAGTTATGATGTGGAATGAGGCTGAAAGTGTTCAAAATTTTCATAGTTCAGTTGAAAATATTATTTACATTGCTTACCGAGAAACAGGTACGTACAGTAAGAATTCCATCGATTTATAGCTAAGTACTGCATGAAATTAAGTTTATCTAAAAACCACGTTAAAAACGGGAACTTGAAATCGAACATTGAAAAAAACTTAATACAGTTTAAAATTTTGTTCAGTTTAATTATTAGGGCACCTAATAAAATCACCCAAAAAATGAGCAGAATCAGCCGCTCAAGAAGTTACGAATGTCTTCCGGATTACTGAATCCAATTATGTGTTTATCCAATCCAGGCAAATATTTCCTTCTTTCAAAGTGTATTTTTAACTCTCAATAATTCTTGTGATTAATCATGTCATTAAGAAAACTCAAAGTTTTTTGAGAGCTTCGATTTTGCAAATCCACTCAATGCTGGTTCAAAATCAGTTAATGTCTTCAACTTACCTGCAGATCAACAGTTGTTGCATTATTAACAGGATCTTCGTCTTTTTGATAAATGTGTTCCAGTCTTAAAAGTAAAGAGCGCTCTTTCCAGGGCTCAAGAGTAAGAATTTGTACATTTTCAGGAAGAGCATTGACTAGTCCAGAATACTGCAATTAAAGTAAAAAATATAAATGAGGGAGAATTTATTTAACCATATTTTTTCATGAGCAATATTGTGAATTATCGACCCTTCCACCGATTTTCTCATAACTAGCTAGGGCTTTAAATGTAGCATTGTGTACCAAATGTAACTATTAAATTAAAAGTTGATGCTTGATGAACAATTATTTTAACAATTCAAGACTTTATAGCTTTATAGGTACTCTCATGTGATTCTTGTTTAAAGCTGAAATTTCAGAAATGCATATCTCAGACTGCAGCGTTGTAGATTTCCTGTCATGCTTAATTTTCTAAAATGAATCTCTGTGTGAAGAATATTCAGTGAAAATTTCAAGCCATATAGGTGGTTTGGCTCCTTAGAAAAAATACAATAAGAGAGTAGATTTTAAAACACTGCAATCAATACATGCATTTTTGCAGTTTCACCGTTGATATCTCCCTCTTTGCAAATCATTTTCAGGAATAATGATAAATGTAGGTACACAGGCTCTTTCTTTGGTTTATTGCAGGAAAATTGGAAATATCAGATGATTAAAAAAAAGTAAAGCATACCTACTTAAGATTCAAATTGAAATTCAGAATGAAAACCTGACTATGGAAGAAGTGATGAAAAATTTCTTAAAAAAGTTTTGATTCGGTTTAATCTTTGCAAAATATTTTTGATACTCTCCTCAACACCACAAATTAAGTAACATCCAAATGGAGAGAACATACACATTCGATTCTTATTGGTACACAGTAAAATAATTTAGGGGAGAGTTTCCTTTGAATTTTCTTATTCTGACATTATAAAGATTCAAAACTGGCCATCTGTTTGCAACATATTTTGTTTCTCCAAATACATAAGCATGATTATGTTGAAAGAATCGATTACAAAATAATCATGTCAGAAATTTGAAAGAAAATGATTTCAATGAAATTTAAATTACCTGCATGTTATGGGCTTGTGACCATTCACTATAAGACACATCTCCAACGGGAGTGAAAAAGATCCATGGACCAATCATTTTACTTATCTCCAGTTGTCTTTCAATCTGCGGTTGGAGGAGATTCGTTCCAACTGTCACATAATGCGTTCCTCGGACAACCAACGCTTTGCCAAAGGCTTCTTCATTGAGAGCCTCGCCTACTCCAAATGCATCATCATGGGACAACCGCCGATGCACCTAAGGACAGAGATGGACACGTTGAAATTATAGATAAAATTAAAGACAGACAGAAATTACTTATTACCGTCAGTTATAGAGAATATAAAAACTTAAAACAAAAAGTGATGGTTACAATAGCAATAGAACAATACTTTACTGAAGAAAATCAAAGAATTTAAAAGGAAGGAAACATTTATCTCATGAAACCAAAACACCTTCACCAGACAAAAAATATGTTTAAAAAATAGGAAACTGTTAAATTTTTATTAATACAAGCCCACACAATGCTGATAGAAACTTAGNAATCATGAAAGCCAAAGTTCTATCGAAAAGAAAGAGAGGAAGGCCAGGGCTGAGATGGCAAGATGAAGTAGAGAAAGATCTCAGAGTAATGAACGTATCAGGATGGAAGGAAAAGACCATGGACAGAACAGGATGGAGGCGCGTTGTCTTGGAGGCCAAAGCCCACCCCGGGCTGTAGCGCCAGTAGTAAGTAAGTAAGTAGAGTCATCATATCTTGTAAATATTTTACCATCAATTTCTATTTGGATTTTCTTTTATTTTATTTTTGTGATCATTAGTTGATCACAAAAATAAAATGAATGCATCATGCTGTAAATTTATGAGTTTGATACAAATATAGAGGATGATAAACCTCGTACTTTTAAAAGTAGGTAACTTCTTTTTACAGATGACTTGTGTTATTAATTAGAAGGGGAAAGAATTCTATGCCACAATTCTGAAAAAATAGTTACATTAAGTGTTAGAAATTTAAACTTCATCCCGATTAAAAGCAAAAAATTACCATCAACTCGACTTGTCCGCTACCAAGACTTGAGCCTCCTTGGGCACGATCGGTTATAACAGCCAATCGAACATTTGCATCATTGATTACAATTCTGGAGGTGACTGGGTAGTAATTCGAGGAAACATCTTCTTCGCCATGGAAATCCCATGATGGTCTCGCATTTAGAGTGCGTTTCAAGAGTTGTCGGCCATTAGAATCAGTGTAAAATGTACCATTACTCTCGATATTGGAATCAAAGCGACTGATTATTTCTTTTCCGAACTTGATTTTCCCGGCTTGACTGAAATCAACAAAAAGAATAAAAAGATGTGAGTAATTAGAAGAAGATTGATCACAAATTTAGTACTCGTTCTATAGACTATTTCGATAGGTATCTTGACTTTGTATCTTTAGTATTGTAGAAAATACAGTATACTCATTTTTTTTTTAACTTCCTGTGATTGGGAGTGGAAGTCTTCAATCGTGTGGGGTTCTATTTTCTGTCTAACACTAATTTAGAAATTGTCTATTTTCTAGACAGAAAAATAAAATAGAGAGAAAATGGAAAGAAAATAGATGTATAAAATAGAAGTAAGAAACTTATTAAAAAACTTCTATTTTCTGTCTATGTTCCTGACACTAAATACGAGGAAAACATGCAATTTTGTTGTCTACATTCTGCGTTTTTTCTATCTGTTTTCTGAATTTTAAATTTCTAAGAAAAAGATAAAGAAAATATTCAATTTTTCTCTATTTTCCATCAGGTTTTTGGATATTTTTTCTTATGGAAATTCTTATGTATCTTATTTCTTATGGAATTCAAATTTTTCATCTTTACTTTTTTTAGATTAAAATTTCATTCCTACTTTCCCTGAATAGAGGCTAATCATTAGATAAATAGGTACATATTCAATGTGATGCAAAGTACCATTGAGTTAGTTTTTGTTAATCTTTCTTCTGGTGTTCCTTCGTTTTTAATCGAGTAATACTCAATTGGATTATTTAAATCGAAATGAACTATCTCTGTAATGACATGGGCCCTGATACCTATAAGGATACATGTATGACAGAACTCATGTCACAATGGAGATTGTTCCTCCTGCTTTAGGTAAATACATTCAACTTATGAATGATAAAAATTATGAGGAATACGCATTAAAAGTAGTAAAAGTTTTAACTTGGGTGATAATAGGAATAAAATGGAAAAAATAACCACAATCATGAGATCCATATGCTTAATTTCTATGTGGCTCATTGTTTTTGAGGATCAAGTCATTATTTCTTATTTATTTATTTATTTATTTCAGCNTGTTGACAACATCGCTGCTACCTTAACCTCACTTAACGACGGCCGTGGAAAACTGCCGCGGACCGGAAAGGGTTAAAAGTAGTAAAAGTTTTAACTTGGGTGATAATAGGAATAAAATGGAAAAAATAACCACAATCATGAGATCCATATGCTTAATTTCTATGTGGCTCATTGTTTTTGAGGATCAAGTCATTATTTCTTATTTATTTATTTATTTATTTCAGCATTTCAAAGAGAATTATATGAGAGAATCAAGAAAACTAGACTCGGCATTCTGAAAATTTAGCCTTCACTATGATGATTTCAAAGAGTGAAAAAAAGAGCATACTCAAGTTTTTACTTACTCCATCGGAATGGGTCCTACAAGCCACTCAAATTCAACAAAGTGCTCGTTTGCATACAACCGCACTACCTCACTTGTCCAATTTGAGTAGGTCACGTGAAGTTCATTGACAAGAGGACCTGTAAACAAATTTTATTCTTCGATTAAAACTGCTTCATTTTTCAAAATTCTTCCTTCTAGTGTATTGTAAAATTTCTCTTCATTAAAATTAGAGATAGCCTCTTCAATTTTTTTTTCTTTATGAATAAGTTTTATAAATTTTTCGTCATCAAAATCCACTGACGCATAACAGTTTGCTTTGAAAAAGAATGAAAATATGACTTGACAATATAGGTTCTATCATAATTTCATTCTTTTCTTTGATTATATTCTTTAAATAATCGTGTTTCATGGAGCGGCCTGCTCCATGAAACTGACAATGCAACTGACAATGCCCCTGCAACTAGTGGGGGAAAAGTTGCAAAATGGAAAGAAAATGTTAACAATTAATGGTGAAAACAGGAAACAACGTACCAATGAGTGCCTCATTTACAGTAATTTAAAATTTCTGTCTCTCTTTTCTCAAAAGAAAAATCATCCAAAATTTTGTAAAAAGCAGTTGGTTTTCCTCTGTTGAAAGAAAATATTATGGGAATTTCAAACTTTCCAGAGCAAGATAAAAGATTTTCTAGTTTCAAAATGAAAATATAAAAATGTAGAACAATATAAATTGAGGAACTTATGAATTCATCCTTTTTACGACAAGTTGTAAGAACTCATTATATATATTTCGCTAATAAATCCCGATTGATGAAAGTCCGAAAATTAGAAAACCCCTACAGTTCAATGACAGCGCAATTTGAGCTATTCGGATTTTTACACCGTTTATCACATGTTATGGTCATCTGTAAGGGTATTAAATGCAGAGAGGATACAGTGCAAGCAGGAAGAAACACCAGTAAAAATTTTGGTGGGCTGGTTGATATTTAGGGTTGCTAGTATGGATTATTTACGTTATTCAGACTGCAATAAAACAACTAAAAGCACTGATAAGTCAATATATTCCTGGTTATTACTTGTTTGGTGCCAGTCCGGCCTCTGAGATTAAGGAAAGGGATGTGCAAAAATTGCACTTGATTACTTTAAAAATAAAGAAAAAATAAGAGAAATACCTTTATATAAGACTCGAGCAGGCTTATCATTTATGACTCTAGCAGTTCCATTAGGGCGGAAAATATAAGCTCCAGATGAGCGATTGGCGAAAATTTCATTGTTGCCAACCATTGGCTGATAGTAATAGTAGCTATGGTCGATGTCCACCTCATAGCCTTCTTTCACAAAGCCTTTGATTGGACCGTTGTACGGATCAAGTTTCACTGATACTTTCTAGTTAAATTGAACAGTCAGACAGAGTAAAAGCAAATTAACTTAAATAAACTTTGAAAATTTTAGTAGTAAAGTATTAAATATTGTTCATTCACATACTTAATTGTGAACTGAGGTACCATAAATATTTGTAAGTGCTTGTTGTATGCATACGTTTGTTTTCAGATTAAGGGTGTTATGTATGACTAAGAGTGTCTGCCACCTTCGAACAGGACTTTATTAGGATGTCATTTTCCTTGCCCGGGGGCGCCTAACGCCACTCTTGATGTAATACTTTGGCTGGGCATCAAAAAGAAGACAAATTTTATTTTTTGTGAGGCACTGTTTTATGACAAAAGGGACAGACGGATTTTTGAAATTTTTAGAAAATCCTAGTCGTAATAAAAACTAATTGAATGGACATTTCGCATAAAAAAACATCCAAAATGGTTTACTTTTCATCAACTATACCTATTTTTTCGTTTTTCATCCATATCTACGTCTCAATTTTTTTTTAGGAATCAAAGGCATTACATTATCATCAGATATAGTTCCAAAAAATGGATAATAACTTTTCTTTATTGCTTGTGCAAAACCCCATTGTCCTTAGTTAGATTTGCTACTGCACAAATTAAGTGAAATATGTGCAACTTACATCATTACTCATGTGTTGATCTGATGATACAGTCACATGAAGATTATGAGAAGCCGAAGAATCATGGGACACATAATATGATTTGTAGCCTAAAGGAGGTACATCCTCAGCTTGGAAAATGAGTTCATGAGTAGCTTGACTCAGAGCGGACCTTCCCGGAATTTCCAGCACTGCAGGATGAATTGGGACAATTTGTGTCACCAAAATTTTACCTAAAATTATGAGAAAGGGCAGAAAACAAAATTCTGTCATTGTCTAATTCTAATGGTCAAATAATTTCAACATCATGCAATCTAGGTAATATTCTTTCAGAGGAAATTTCTTTCTAAATAAAAATGGTAGCAATATTGTGAAAGGTTTATGTTTGAAGAATCTTAAAGGTGCAATGGAAAGATCACATTTTGTTGTGAGCGAAAAAATTAATTTGAGAAATATCTTTACTGAAATTTTGAGAGAATTATACCGATACCCATAAATTGAACCGATTTGAAGCATATTAAATGGCAGAACAAAATCTGGAATATAATATTCAATGATCAGACAGTTCCTGCAATTTTGATAATTACTTTGATACTTAATAAATTACATTGGCCTGTGGCCCTTCATTGTTACATATACTGGAAGTGCTCTTTCTTCCGAGGGAAAAAAAGAAGAAGAAAACAATGGGTGTCAATAATAAAAGATTGTTATACATACCCTCAGGATCATAGACCGTGTAAGTAGCCTGATTTACAATCGGAAGACGAACATACTTTGAGACGTTTTGGCTCTGGGGGTTGTAAACAGTGACGACAAAACGGGAATGTCGTTCAGAGATTGGGCAAGAGCTGATGTTCAACAAGTTACAAGATTGGAATGAGAGTTTTTCTTCTGGCAAGGAGTGCTTGGGTTTCTCTGTCATATCCTCCTCCACTTGCTTTTCATGAGGAGAGAGTTTCATTAATTTACTGAAATCAAGGAAAAGAATGTAATTTAGATCATCATAAGAGTATTTTATTTATAAAGTTCTGTGAAGACATTTTTCCAGAGATTATTTAACCTTATCTCAAGAATTGACTACTTTGTTTGAAAATCCACTTCGGTTTTTTGACCCATAAGTTTCAAAACCTGACCTCCTTAGATAGTTATAGGGGTTCAGAGAGGAAATTTTTTGAATTCTCCCCTCAAGAAAAAGAGGTTTTGGCAAAACAGTAGTACAAAGACTAAAGCCTCCATAACTCAAGGCTATTTAATCTTCTTTCTCGGGGTATGAATTAAAAAAAAATCTGTTCGCACATAATGCGCAAATCAAGTCGAAGCATTTGTCTCCACGGTACGTTTCATGGCATTTGTCTCAAGGAAAAATCTCACTTGCGAAGTTGGGAAAAATATTAAGTTATTCAAAACTAATCACAGTGCCGATTAAGAGTCATTAAGGAGTCCCAAAAACGGCTTAAAAAGAAGAAGAAGAAATTTTGTTGTGTTTCTTAACAGAGAAAAAGTCGAGAAGATTCATTCCTGCGCGATTCGAACTTGGGAAAAATCCTGTGAAACGTCCCGTAGAGACAAGGCGTAAGTACTCACAAGCTGGTTACTAATTTCACATATCTGGTATACCTACTTCAGTGCTGCAGAGGTAAGCAAATCACACTTGGCGAATCCTTCCGCCAACTGCCTTGCGTAATCTGCGGCTACATGTTGTTTTTCTGTGCCAGTAATAGCATCGTGATGTTGCATCACCCCCATTGCACTTCTCATTTGGTTGAGTTCGACCTGCTCTTCTGGCCCATGTTCATTTAACGCACTCAGTTGCTTACATACCTGAAATAAGCAGAATGATTAAGAAACTTAATACCTCAAGTTAATTAATTAAAATAAATAAGGTAATAAATTGTGAAAGTTCTGACGACAGGACTCTGCATTTTTTATTACTTGATTAGGTAAGTAATTACATTCCAATCCAGGAATTCCTCCGCTGAGCATTTTTCACTTCACGATTCAATGTCTGTTGGAAGAAAAAAAGAATCTGATGATGAATGGTCCATTTTTCAGTTTTCTACCATTAAATACTTCCATTACGTAATAAATCAATGGGACAGCTATCAGCGGAGCAACACAAATCAACGACATAGGTACCTCCAATGATAGCATGAGTTTCTAACACTTACCTCCAATTTTTAATGTTTCATTTTCATGTATTTTCTTGATTTATCTCAAATATTAACCGAAAATCGCTGAAAAATTCCGTATCAACTTTGGTCTGGAAAAATATGAGCAGTGTAACTTTAAGACCCACCTGCATGTAATTGTTGCCCATTCGCTCATAGAATTTAATCGTAGGTCTTGATGTAAAGTAGCCGGTCCAGTATGAATGCGGGTCGCTGGCATACGGAAAGAAATCATCATCTTTCACAGAGTAAGACAATTTTTCATCATGGACTGCTTTCAGGTAGCATGATGGAGTTGAGTAGAAGATATTAATTGCACTTTCATTGCTCTGTTGCTTATTGCCTTCCCTGTAAAATACCAAATTACCGCTGAATTTTTGATTCTCCACAATTCATCTTACTGTACCTCATTTTCTGATCAACCTGTCTCCTTAGTCCATGAATAGATAGGTCTGCTGTTAACTTTCATTTTTTAAAATTAAAAATTTAGCCCAAAAAAAATTGGAAAACTGCTAAAAAAAAACCACTGGAAAATTTAGTGTCTAAATCGATAAATAGTTTAAGACATCCTACGGTGAAATTGAATTAAAAAGTGTCCGTTCCTCATTTGTGGATGTAAGCACTCAGTCAACACGATGACATATGGACAGTATGTGTAAGAGAAACATACTAAATGAGATAATCCAAACTTTTATGCCTCAATCGATAGATAAATTTATTACCTATGGCTACCTGACAGGGACCTAAGTTAAGAGAGAATTGGCTCAGATAGCCAACTAACAAGAGTTCCTGAACATGAAAACACACTTTCCACAGACAAGTCTAGAAGTCAACCAAAATCTCTTAAAGACAAAATTAACAGATGCTTCAGTGGAAGAGAAAAATCTGAAATGGGGTTAGAAGGGCCGCAAAAGTTTTGTCTGGCCGACGCCTTGAAATAAACGCTAGGCAGGACTGAAAATTACACACCAAAGGACTTTTCTAATTTTGCGGCTGCAATATAAGTAAGACTCACCTGATTAGAATATCCATATTCTTGTACCATGAGTGGGCGTACTGATAGGTGAAATCATTACCCATGGTTAGAATGATGTTACTAGATTTGTAGAATGACTTTTGGAGTGATACCCATTGAAAAAACTTTGTTAACTGAAAGCAGAAAAATGTAGCAAACCATTAAAATTTTATTCCACCAAAACACCGTGGAATCTCCAGGCTCACTCATAAAATTTTTGTCGAATTTGTTTGCTGGTTTTGCACTTACATAGTTTTTATTAGTGCTGACTGATACAACAAATAGTGCACAAATTTTTAAATAATCATTTAAAATATTTTAAATTACAGGGGAGAAGAAAAATCGAGAAAATATAAAGTAATAAACAACTGAGAATATTTATAATTTAGGAAACCTTTATCTGGCGCATCTGGAGTAAAATCAAATTAATTCCTACAGTTTTTCTTTTGAAGTAAATATTGGCTCCTCTTCAGAATTGCAGAGTCTACTTTTTTGCTCATCGTCTAATTAGGAATTCTCTAGAAACATCTCCCCTCCACTAAAAAAGAAAGAAAAAAAAGTGACAAGAAATGAATATACCATTTTATCCAGATTGTACTCTGGGCTGTTTCTGTCATCAACAATTTGGTTCTCAGAGCACAAAATATCAAAGCAGAAACCATCAGGAGGACTGTAAGTGTTGTACAAGATATGAGAAAAGATATCAGAGGAACTTCCTGAAAAGAAAAGAATAAAAAATATTAAACAATTTTAAAAAATAGAAAACCAAAACCATTAAAGAGTTGAATGCACCTCTACTTAATAAAAGTGTTCCACACTAAATATTTCTCACAGAAATGGACATTGAATTTTTTTCCCCTAAAAATTGTTGCATTGGATCTTGAAAAAGCCTTGAACAGTGCAAGGTAGAAAATTCTTTAATCAATCCAAAAATCTTAAAATCCAAAAATTCATATCAAATATGTTTAAGCAGTTTAATAGGTAACTTATGACAATGAAGACAAAGTAAAAATTGTGAATATAGGTTTGAAGGAATTCTGTCATTATATATTTTTTCTCAAGCTTTTACAAACAAATTTTCTTCAGTTCACACATTACCATGTAAGAAAAACCTCACCAGCACAGCACTAGGTAACTGATAATCTGTTCCACTTTCACTGGCAATTAAGACAATATTTTGACAGAAAAATGCTGAGCATGTCGTGTAATACGGCTCACAGGTGACTTTCAGTCAATTACCAGTAATGTTCAATTGGAAAACCAAGGGCGGAAAAATTGTCTTCATTCATCTCTGCCAGGACTTCACTCATGTGGAGTGTGATCTCTGAGAAATTGTTAGTGGGTTGCAGCAATGTGACTTGGTCTAACCCCATATCACCAGGCTTCCATATCCAGTGGTGGCTGATAGCTAAAAGTCGCAGAGTGACCTCTAACTGGTGTCCAGTCTATTGGTAGTTGCACTTGGGAGCCATCGCAATTAAGAACAAATTTTTCTCCCAGTAATGATAATTTAAAAAAAAGGAATAAAAATAAAGCTCTATTCTGACCTAAATCTTGACTGGCTTGCCAGATCATTTCCATATCCTTGGTCTTGAGACGATGGCGCTTATCTTGGTAATCAATGCGGCCCATGAAGAATCCATCAAATCCTAACTGCGCAAAAAGGGAAGCTTGTTCTTTTGAATGGCCGAAGGGATCAATCTGCCAGCCCACTTTTGGGTGTCCACAGTTGCCAAAAGTGTCATTTAACTTCCTGGAAAAGGGATTTTATGCATCATTATCAATTCATGATTATAAATAAAGGATGCAGACACTCAACTAGTTGTATTGATGACAGACTTCTTGGATAAAACAGAAAAAATTGTTAAAAATATTAGTAAGCATGTTACCATACTGCAGTTGTAGGTGGATATAGTTTTCATTTGAAGGTATTTTGTGTGCATCTGATGGGTAATTTTGTTGGACAGCAAAAGAGGAGTGACAACTTGAGTTTTGATAAGGGGTGATGATATTCAAAAAGGCCAAGGTTAGCAGTAGAGCCAGAGATTTTTGGAAGGATTTAGTATAAAGTGAAAAATTTCTCAAAGAATGAGGCTCAAAAAAAATATTTTTTTAACCAAAATTTTGAAGCTGTCTAATTTTAGATGGATCACACACATGGGAACCTAAATCATCAAAATTTACTATCTACTTTTAAAATTGTGCCACTGTTGCCAAAAACTGACTACAATATAGAATTTGCATGCAAATTTATTAGGGCTTCATCTGAAAAATCTTAAAGAGCTGATTTCGCAGTATTTTTTATACTTTTTTTCTGATATGAGAAATAGTATAAAAATATATTTAAAAGTGAGAAAATGCACCGCCTAGTGACGGCATCTGGCTGCATTCCCCATTCATTAAACACATATACAGGGTGGCCCAGACCTACCGTACCAGGCCTTTTTTTCGGTTAATTTGGGTCGCACAAAGTCCAGGATCGCAGGGATAAATAGGAAATCGACCCCAAGGAATCCGAATTTCATGGTCCCAGAGCCCCCCTGGCGCCCCTTGGGTGGTAGAAGGGGGGTCCGTACTTCAAAAGTCAGGGTTATGCTAAAAAAAGTGACAAAGCAGTAATTTTATCAGCACCCACTAAAAAATTGTACTGCTCATGTTGAAATTTAACACCTCATGAGCAGACATGCTCGTTTAAAGATTACCCGCCCGACAAAACTTGTGCAAAAACGTTGTCACAACATCTTATAGCAAAGTTCTTTATGAGAGAGGACATTTTGCCGTTCTTGCACATTTTTGCTGGGCGCATCGAAAGAGTATGAAAGTGGATGAAAATAATGCCTTCCCACACAGGGGAGCAAGATTTTAATGTAGGCACTTTGATGAAATGCAAGAATTCTGTATTACCTCTAACCTCAAAGACAGAATTAAGAATTTCAAAGATTTTTAGAGGGAAGATGATGATTGAGGTAGATACTGAGAGAAATGTGTCATAATATCTCTTTCAAAGTTTCATCATGGTGAGTGTGATTAAAATTTGTCAACTGTTCTTGAAAACAGACATTCATGAGATGTAGCACTATAGTCCGCGCCACAAAAAGTGGCGGGTGAGGGGCACAGCCAGTCGGCCAATCCAGTCTATCCTTGAAGGGTTGAAGCTCAGGTATTGGCACAGTCGTTATCCCGTCTCAACTACAGGCCAATACTTGCGCTTCAACCCTTCAACTATGGACTGGACCGCACGACTGCCTCCGCCCGTCACCCGCCACTTTTCGTGGCGTGGTGTTTCGTGACTGTAACATAGGTATGTACCTACATGAATGTAAAATGTTTTGGAAAGATGGACATAAATGCTGTCAACATCAACGGTATTAGAGCAATAAGTTAAACAATATGAGACCACTGATAAAATTATTCAATAATTTAACTGTATACAAAAAGAAAACTCAAAATGAAACTTATACATACGAATGTAAAATCGAAATACATAGATGTTTCTTTAACATTTCAGTGCAATGCACAGACGTTCACTCCATAGCAGTGCTCACGGAAAGGTATTCATTTTATATTGAGAACACTTAGTTAAAGGGGTGGAGCTTTTCGGACTGAAGAAATTAAAAGTTGGACTTAGAATGACAAATAGTGAACGAAAAATTCCGAAAATTCCTATTAATATGCAAAAATTTTTCTACGTGAGCTCAAAGAGTCAAAACAGTCACAACAACAGACTGTTCGTGGGAAAAAAGTAAACAATGAAATGACGTAATGTCATGGCAGGAAGGTGATTGGCTAAAGCGCAACAGGTAACCCGCCAAATCTGAAAGGTTTTCGAAAAAATGGCGGCAACTTTGAAATGACGCTCCGTCCAAATGGGAGCGACAACAGGATCCACCATGTGGTTACCAAAGAGAACAGTAACGCTAAAAGTTAAGGTATCGAGTTTTCTTCAAAATTCAACTAATCTGGTTGAAATGAACTTACTGAATGAGTAAACGACAAGACTTGACTTATTTATAAAAAAAACTATAAATATGATGTGAGGAAATTCTAAAGATTTTACAGATGAATCGCAAAACGAAGTTCATTTTTGCGCTTCTGAAGTAGCATTTTTCGACGGGAAAATTGCGATGTTTTGAAATTAAGTGGCGATTAATTTACAACTTTATTGGCGGTAAAATCGCTAAAATCATTGATATTTGAGCGATTATCCTCAATTTTGTCGCAATTTTATCTCTATAAAATCGCGTTCGATAAACTCGAAATTTAATCTCACTCTATCACGATTTTTTGTTTAATAATATTGCAATAAATCGCCATCGATAAAATCGCGATACATTCTCCGGTCAAATCGCAACTTACCACGGTCACTGCTACTTGGGTAATGTCAAAATGTTGAAATTATTTCATCGGAATCAGAACGTACGGAAAATTTTAGCTTAAATCGACACCAAGAAATCCAAAATCGGCCCACCCGTGTCCAAAATACCGACCCCCAAAGGCGGGGGACAGAGCCCCCTTTCAAAAAAATTCAAGTTCGTTAAATTGACGTGGAGCCTCGAAAAAAATGTGTATTCATGGGTAATCGACCCCAAGGAATCCGAATTTGAGGGTTCCGTTGTCCACAGAGACTTTTCTGATGGTGCACAGGGGTAACGTCCACACCGGTTAAATTTGAAAGTTCAGAGTCCCCCTGTGCCCCATCAGAAAAGTCTCTGTGGACAACGGGACCCTCAAATTCGGATTCCATGGGGTCGATTACCCATGAATACACATTTTTTTCGAGTCTCCACGTCAATTTAACGAACTTGAATTTTTTTGAAAGGGGGCTCTGTCCCCCGCCTTTAGGGGTCGGTATTTTGGACACGGGAGGGCCGATTTTCGATTTCTTGGTGTCGATTTAAGCTAAAATTTTCCGTACGTTCTGATTCCGATGAAATAATTTCAACATTTTGACATTAACCCTGACTTTTGAAGTACGGACCCCCCTTTTACCACCCAAGGGGCGCCAGGGGGGCTCTAGGACCATGAAATTCGGATTCCTTGGGGTCGATTCCCTATTTATCCCCGCGATCCTGGACTTCGTATGACCCAAATTAACCGAAAAAAGGCCTGGTACGGTAGGTCTGGGCCACCCTGTATTTTAGCAGATTAGATCATTTTGTCATATCATCTCCAATAATTATTCAATTCATGAACCAAGGGTATCCTCGTGTTCAGTTCACTCAGTAGTTTCCACTTAAACACGAGATTGATCGAATGTCAGACATGTGCTAATTCTCTCCTGAGCGAATATAAATTTATACGCACTATTCTCTAATTTCGATTGCTCTACTACTTTCTCAAAGGATATCAGCAAAAAAAATAAAAAAATAACATGTACGTAATATCTAAGTAAGTATATGCATACCTGAGACCCCAGGTGAACTGATCAATAATTGACATGTAGTTAGTAACAGCTTCATCATTCATACTCCATGCTCCTCCGATAAATTCGAGCTGACCATCAGCAACTAGCTTTTTCACATCTTGTTGTCTTTCCTCCGTTTGCCTAGTCCACCAATGCCAGAAGAATGCTGTCTCGACATAAATAAACCTATTCAAACAACATAAATTGATTATTTGGAACACATAGGTCCTTAAGAGCATCAGAACTTGTTTTTAAAAAACATAGGATCATGCTTACAAACATGTAATCATACATGAAAAAACGTTGAATGTCTCGAGGATGAAAAATACCTGGGTGCACAGCCTAGCAAAATTTACATCAAACTACAATATTTCCAATTAAACCAATTTCAGCAAGAGAGAAGACAAAGTTATGATTTATTGAGTCCGATTTGATCACACCTCAATATCCTCTGCAGATGGATACCTGGTGAACAAGAATTGAGACAATAATAATTCAACGAGAAATAACTTGAATCTTTTCATTTGAATGAAAAATCAGATTGGCAGTCTTAATCTGAAATCTTGATCCTTATTAACTGCTGGAAGTGATAACAAAATATAATTCAGAAAACTTACTTTTTTTCAGGGTCTTTTTTCAGTTCATCAACAACAGAATCGATGATGTACTCGACGCTTACATCTTGAATTAAATTGTTGACTGCAATAAAAAACGGAAAAAAATATATTAGAGTGCGTTATGAAAATTGATTGATGGAGACAAGGCCCCCGCTGGGAAGATGAAACAAGTTGCGCCTTCAAATGACGGGGATACTGCATCTGTTACGCAGCAACGCTGTCAATGAAACGAGTGTTCGAATAAACCTGATCAAAACAATTAGTGACGCACTAGATGGCCCAATTATACACGGCAGAATGTAATTGTGCGAATTTTTTTTTTTATCTTATCCCCTAAAACTGATCCATATGATTAAAAAACACTGTCTGGCAAGTTTCAGCTAAATCAGATAATATTAACCCGTGCCGACAAAGCCATCATTTTTAAATGGGATTTTACATTGAAAAACACTTTTTTTCAGAAAAATCCATTGCCCGGAAAATGTGTTGTTTCTACAAAAAATCTGAGGTCATACTCGGCTTTAACAGGAAAAATTGAGGGGGAAGGGATGTATTGGACACCTTCAAAAAAAAAGTTCACCCCTCGTTATAGCGGTGAAACAACTGAAACATCTAGAATAGCCGAGATAGCCGTAGATCTAGCCGAGTATGACCTCAGATTTTTTGTAGAAACAACACATTTTCCGGGAAATGGATTTTTCCAGGAAAAAGTGCTTTTCAATGTAAAATCCCATTTGAAAATGATGGCTCTGTCGGCACGGGTTAATATTATTCGATTTCGCTGAAACTTGGCAGTGTTTTTTGATCATATGGATCACTTTTAGGGGGTAAGACCAAAAAAATTCCGACATTGCCAAATTTAGACCACCCTTTCCACGCACGCGCATACCTGACGTCTCCGATGAATATACTAACAATAAGTCTAAATGAAGACGCTCTATACGCATGCTAGTCGTAATTTTGCGTTGAAAACCATTTTAATTCTCAAATGGGGGAATAAATTCTAAAATTGTTTTCTATCTTGATGTTATTATATAATGTAAATAATTAATGACTATTAGTTCGAATGCTTGATTTAGAATTGAAAAATTTCAAAATTTTGAGAAGAGAACACGTGATGAAAGGAACACGTCTCGGTGGGCCGAATCGCCCCTGTTAATTCGAATTCATTGCTGACAAAAGACACGGATGACGGATGGAAATGGAAAATACACATGTGCACACTTACTTCCGTAGTAATACTGATCAACTGTTTTGAGCCAGCCTACGTCATCGTGGGTGTGTGGCACAAGATGAACATTTATGTATCCTGGCTTCGGTTTTGGACATGACTGAAACATACCAAAGAAACGTCGATTAAATAATAAAATTATAAATAATAAATACGTTGGTAAAATTACGTGCGTTTGCAATAAATGTAAAGTAAACCTAACGTTGTTTATTGTTTAGGTTTCCGCTTGTTGCAAATTACGAGCATCGAGCAATGCGAACTTAGGGCAAAATGACGTGAGCAACACAGATTTTTAACGGTCTGCTGGAAGTTGATGGATGGAAAAGATCTGCACCAAACACCCTCATTTTCTGTAAATTCTTCCTATGTTTGATCGTCTATGAAACACCATGAGAGTTAGAATAAAACAAACCGCACAAAAGGTGCACTGCTGGTGCGAAGTAAAGTTTATGTTACTTTTCTCGCGTTACTTACTTCATTAGGTACCTTCAAACGCAATTTGAGTCGTGGGCGTTTGAGATCCCTGGTAAAAATTGGCAGTAGAATCTGTGTTCCAAAATACCATAGACCTACAGCCGACTGTAAGATCTCCAATAGCTTCTATAGCCGGCAACACAATTTCTTATAGCCTTTTATAGCCGATGGCGATTAAGAAACAGCCTGACGATATAGTGTATGCAATCCGCGCGTTACTAATTACGGATGCTAGGACTTACAATTAGTGAGTTTTTGGACAACCGCTCTCTTTTTGGGCCGTAGTATCTTGATTTATTTTGCGAGGAAAGCTCCGTACTTTTGAAGGATGCCTGCGGCAATTGCCTGCCATTCCTAATATGTTGAAGCGCCTTCAATTTCGTACGATACTGTGCAATTCCTCTGGTGTGAAATAGTCGCTTCAAGCGGCGTGGTACGCTGTGGCGCAGCGCGGCGGGCGGGCAGCCAGCGCGAGACGCGCATTGGCGCCTACAAACCTAGCAGGGATACTTCACGCATTGCGCAGTGCGTGAAGTATCCCTGTTAGGTTTGTAGGCGCCAGTGCGCCGCCGCTCCGCTTTGTGTTAGGCTCTAATATTTAATCTCGTGGAGTCAGCGTTGTTCAACTCATGATTTTGAAATGTTTGCACATCCTGTATGGATTATTCTCATTTTAATTGATGAAAACAAATATGTATTAAAGGAAAATAGAATGTGCGTTTTGTAAATATTAAGGTGCTTCCGTACAAACTTGCTGATTTACAAAGCACAAGAATTTCTACACAATTTCTTATAGCCCTTTATAGCCGATGGCGAAAAAGCAACAGCCAGGCGATAAAGTGTAAAGCCCGGCTATAGGAACTACAGCCAGGCTGTTTAATTTTTCATGCCTTCGTGTAGCCCGGCCGTATGATTTTTTCCACTTTCTACAGCCAGCTATATGATTTTCTATCGCCTTCTTCAGTCGGCTATAAGAACTCCTATGGTATTTTGAAATGCAGCTCCTATCACCAATTTTTACCAGGGATATCGACGGTGAAACTTCAAAACCATGCATCTCCTTTGCAAGTTTTGAAAATCTCCACTACAATTTCCTTTTTTTTAAAGGAGAACAAATCAACGTCATACCTTGAACTTTTCACAGAATTTTTCTCGCACAGAGGAAAAAAATTACAGACATTTTTAAAAAGTGGCGCTGAATAATTGTTCAGTTAAAAAATAAAGTATGACAAAGAGTCTGTGACGTCTCAAACCGAGATGCGTGGTTTGGTATAGTTTCACCATGAATATGCTAGTTTTTATGCATTCGTCATAAAAGAATATTTGAACTGTGCTTCGTGTGTATAGGAGAAGAAAAAAATTTTAACTCAATCTTATACACCGCGAGAAAAGTTACGGGGGCAAACCGACGCACCTCTGAGGACTTAGCTGTTTCAGGGATAATTTATAAGGCGATTGCCCAAAAACTAGAATCGGAGGTTAAGTAACGGAAATGAAAACGGGCCCCGAGTGAATTCACTTGGATGAAACACTGACATTTTAAGAGCAAATTGTTTTTATCGAGCACAAAACGACTGCGAGCAGCACAGCGTGGTTTGCGATGTAGGGAATTAAAACGCAGTGCGGTTAGAATTTCAGTTATTGATAAAATATCATAAGTATTCTTCTTTGAAAATGAACTCATGAACGTTCACTTAGAATCCGCCTTTACCACCGCATCCTGCCTTACGCCGCACGCTCCCTCTTCAACAAGAGCGCTGAAGAATCGAACTGCGTGATACAACTATTTCGACTCCTGAGTAGCCAAAATTGCATACCCGTTGATTTGAAGGAGCGCTCGATTTTGTCATCCTGCTTCCATTCATTTGATTTCATTTGGAAGACTTTGGATATGATTAAGCTAACTCCACGTTACTTATCAAGTTTTAATTTTTGACACAGGACTGAGCAACATTTAGCCTTGAAAACTTGTAAGGACATATATGATGGGAAGTTGAAAAAAAGTCTCCAAATAGAGGTACTTTGTACAATAATAAGCGAATGCCTGAAATTCAACATATTATTTTTAGTCTTTCGAAAATTTATGGCATCAGAGGATGTTTCACCTGTTGTTTACTGGCGAGGAACAGTAAGAGAACCAAAGTGACCAAAACAAAACCCCTGATAGGATAACAGGGAAGCGAGAAAAATATTTACGAAATTCCAGTTCCGATGTGATTTTAAACACAAAGATCACTCTCCACAGGGGAAAACAAGACTCTGTACAGATTAGGTACTTTGGATACCGTGCAGATATTTCAAGAATTATTATCATTTGACATGTGATAAACGCGAGAATCAGAGATCATTTCTGCCGTGCTAAAGAAGAACGCCGTATAAGCCTTCAGGCGATGCGATATTTCAATCGACAAAAAACAAAATTCACTGGGAAATTTTGAAATATTTTTCTTCGAATTTTTCAGACCATTTCATTCGCAATTTAATCTAGAATGTCTGAAAATTTCGAGGAAAAATATGCATAACTTTCCTTAAAAATAGACGTTTCATCAGTGGAAATTTGACAACTCTCACTTGTTCATGCGGCATTCTCCCTTCGCAAGGCGGATTTCAAATGGGGTTAATAGACACATTCAACGATGGGTCAGGTTAGGTATTCTGGCGGTTTTAGATATTTTTCTAATCAACACCTGTTGGCAGAGCAGCCATAAACTAAAAATCTTGTCAGCTTGGACCTAGCTCTATCTCGTTTTCCTTTGACCTCTGGTTAAGAAACAGGCACTATTTTGATCGGAGGTTGAATTTATCGGCTCCGAAAATTCTACCAGAACAAAAAACGTCACTGCGAGAAAACTGGAGGGGGCAATTTTTTTTTTAATTATGAAGTTAGGATTTAACAAAAGAGATCCGAAGTGGTATAGAATTCGTCCCTTGGCTGACAAAAAGACTTAACTACAATTTGAGATGAGCCCGAAAAAGCATTGAGTTACCTACGTGGACAGCAGGGTTCAACGTCAAGTGTAGTTACGCGGTTATGTCAGGAAGGCTACGAATTGTTCCCTACTGCCGTGCTCAGGAAAACGCAGTATGAACCTTTAGGCGTTGCCAAATTCCCTTCAATAAAACAAGAATTTTCTGGAAAACTTATGAATAGTTTCACTCTAGTTTTTCAGATAATTTTGTTCGCAATTTCATCGAAAGGTCCTGAAAATTTCGAGGAAAAATATTCATAACTTTCTTAAAAAATAAACATTTTATTGAGGGAAATTTGGCAACTCTCGAATGCTCATACGGCGTTCTTCCTTAGTACGGCAGCTTAGGCCTGCCTCTCCTCCCTCTGTTCAAATTTGTTCCCGTGCATGACAGAGTGGAACTTGAAATGTCAGATTTGGGGATTTTGTGGCTTACACAGACAATTTCATGGTCTAAATGATATTTTCGACTGGAACTAAAAATCTTGACCCGCTTTGAAAGATGCGCGAAAACAAGATGCGTGAGTGTTTCATTTGCAAATGAAAGGATACCTCGTGCGAAAAACAGAGCTCGTTGACGGGATAGTTAGTACAGATTTACATTCTGCGCGAAGCTCGGTTTTGTCATGGCGGGGACCTCTCAGTGTACGATCATATGGGTATTGTTGTTTTAAAGTATGCGTGTATTCACTAACATAGAGACCTAAACAGCGAGTCATTTGGTCCAGAATTGACGGGAGGTTGCAGCTATCTTAATTGCCTGCTTACCCTGGTAAAAATTGGCGATACGAGCTGCGTTTCAAAATACCATAGGAGTTCTTATAGCCGACTAAAGAAGGCTATTGAAAATCATATAGCTGGCTGTAGAAAGCGGAGCAAATTATATAGCCGGGCTATACGAAGCGATAAAAAATTAAACAGGCGGGCTATAGTTCCTATCGCCGGGCTTTACACTTTATCGCCATTGGCTATAAAAGGCTATAAGAAATTGTGTAGAAATTTGTGTGCTTTGGAAATCATTAAGTTTGATACGGAACTACCTTAATATTTACAAAACACCCATTATATTTTCCTGTAAAGCATATTTTTTTTTCATCAATTAAAATGAGATGGTCCACACAGAGTGTGCAAACATTTCAAATTCATGAGTTGAAAAACGCTGACTCCGCGAGATTAAATATTAGAGCCTAACACAAAGCGGAGCGGCGACGCATTGGCGCCTGCAAACCTGACAGGGATACTTCACGCATTGCGCAAGCGCTCTCCGCCCGCCTGCCGCGCCGCAGCGTGTCACGGCGTCTGAAGCAACTATTTCACACCAGAGATATTGCACAGTATCATAAGAAATTTAAGGCGCTCCAACATATTAAGAATGACAGGCATCCTTCAAAAGTACGGAGTTTTCCTCGCAAAATACATCAAGATACTCCGGCACAAAAAGAGAGCGGTAGACCAAAAACTAACTAAGTCCTAGTATCCGTATTTAGTAACGTTTAGCATAAACTTTATCATCTGGCTGTTGCTTAATCGCCATCGGCTATAAAAGGCTATAAGATATTGTACAGCCGGCTACAGAAGCTATTGGAAATCTTACAGCCGGCTTTAGGTCTATAGTATTTTGGAACACACATTCTACTGCCAATTTTTACCAGGGCACTTTGAGAAATGGTGGGATTTGATCCAACGCTGTTAAAATTGTAAATCAATACCGAGCAAAAACCACGTTAATAATGCCGTGCTAAGGAAGAACGCCACATGAACTTTCAGGCGTTGCCAAATTTCCTTTGATAAAACGCGAATTTTCTGGTAAACTTGTGAATACCTATTTTCCTCCAATTTTTCAGATTTTTTTGCTCGCAATTCCATCGAAAAGTCCTAACAATCTCAAGGGAAAATATGCATTACTTTCCTCAAAAATAAACATTTTATCGAAGTAAATTTGGCATAGTTTATTGACCATCTTCTTGGTCCATAGCAACCACCCGCTTCCACCTATAGAATCCCTTCATGTCCCTTTTGTCTTCTTTGTCTATAGCATTGTATATCAATTTCAATAATCTGCCCGCTGATGAAATATTAGGTCACAAAATTGACAAAGATAACCGGGGTAAAAAATGTTTTCACAAGTAATCGACTCGAAGGAATCCGAACCTGACGGTCCCGGGGCCTCGCCACCTTGATTACCAATGAAAACACCATTTTTCGAGTCTTTCCGTCAATTTTGTGACCTATTATTTAATCGAGGGGGAGGGGGGGGGGCTCTGTCCGCCAACTTCAGGGTTCAATATTTGAGACAGGGATGGGCCAATTTTGAACTTCTTGGAATCAATTCATGTCAACATTTTCCGTTCTCTAATTAAGATTTAATAATTACTAAAGTGAGACGAGGATCCCTTATTGCCCGCAAAGATTACCAGAGGGAATCTGGGGGGGGGGGGGGGCGAAATTCGGCTTCCTTGGGGTCAATTCTCAATTTGTTCCGGCGGTTCCTGACCTCGTGACCCAAGATAATCGAGAAAAAGCCAAGTAGAATGGCCCGGGACATCCCGCATAATATCCGAATTTTAGCGACTTGCCGGCCAGGTTGACCTGTGGTCAGCGCGTCTGACTCTAGGTCAATAGGTCCCGGGTTCGAATCCCAGTGGTAGCGTCTAATTTTGACGGAATTGACAAGTAGATCTGCTGAAACAGACTCTACTCGGCCTTAATCCCTGAACATTTGAAAAGCCTGGGGCATGGATGTGCCTAAATCCCTTGATGTCTAGGGACAATAAACATAGTCTAAAGTTGGCTGAAGGTGCTAGACATGAAGCCATAAAACCAGCAAAAAAAACAAACAAAAAATATTAGCGACATTGCAGGTGCAGTCTCATATTTTTGCCAAATTTTCCAAAAATTGCTCGTCAATTGTTAGGTACTTTATAAAACTTGAGTGAAAATTGGCCGATTGGCCTAGAAAGAGAGAGGAGGTACAAATTGTGTTGATTTACATTTGATAAGCTTATCTCGTAAAATAAATTATTTCATCGGTATTAGTCACCGAACTGTGATTTCAAAATTAGTGTCGCGCGTGATCGCATCATGAGAAAATAGAAGCAGGTGATTTAGACGAGATGAAAAATAGAACGTCTAGATAAATACGAAAATGAGAGCAGATAATTTGCTAAGGAAGGACACTGTATTTACGATACATTTTTTTTATATTTGGAGGAAAAAAAAATTGGATAGTAATTATTTAGGCATTAGAAACGTGATTTTTTTTGTCATTATTTACACCGCCATACGACTTGAGGATGAAGGGAAAATCAAAATATTGATAGACTTGAAAAGTTATTGAACTTTCCGAATTCGGTCAGTCCAGACTCCAGATAATGAGTTGACCTTTTAACATTCCTGACACCGACTTTCGCATTAGTCTCTTGATATTGCCATAATCACTGACATAAGTTAACAATACAGTCAGTTGGAATAATTTAACATTACGACGCATAGAGGGGGGAGAGGGTACAGTTTTATCATCGTTCTTCACAGGTGACGGAGGGGAAAAAACAGATTATTAACGGGGTATGGAATTTTTAGAAGATTTGATTAATTTTCTCTACAGAAATAAAATTGATTTTTAAACTTTAAACGAAGATCATTCGTCTGACAATATCTAACATGATATTTTCCGCCACCTATGATTACCCCTCTCCCCCACAAACACGTGATAAGTTTCACTTTTTTTCTTTTTTTAATTAATTTTTCCGTTCTACGGTATATTTTTATTTGAGGCACTAGCTAAACTCCTGTTTAATGAAATGATAAGTGCAGCTATCTAATAACAGTTGTCTCCATTTGAGAGGTCCTGGGAGAACAAATAAGAGCTCAAATGGGTACGGAATTTTAGGCACGAGATAGTGCTACCTTTCCTCTTATCCATCCGATCGTTTATTATCCTATTCAGTCTGGCTGATACAAATGATCTCCGCGTCAACAGTTTCCCACGGCCAAAACGTTTTACAGATCAAACAGCGAGGGTCCCTCATTTCTCCGCAGAATAGTACGAAGAGTGTCCTGACTAATTTTACGGCGGACGTTTCAAATTGTATCGCGGGAAAGTAGCTGGTATGTACTTACATGTATGTACTTGGTACACAAAAAAAGGGGTGAGATTTGCAATAAATTATTTAGAGGCATTGGCAAACTTCACCAGTGTTTTCCTCAATTCGCTATTTATCGTTCTCACTAGAAACCCCTCAAAAGGTCAGTATTTTTGTCGTACTTTTTTTATCAAATGATGCCATCAACCTCTCCGGGTTGTGGCATGCTTGCCGGCCTTTTTTTCAATCTCAGAGCTCATTTTATACAGCATTTATTGAGAGAGCGGACGCTCCTGAGGGAGAAGGGGGTAGAGGCACTCCAAACTTCCCTAAAGGAGGGTGATTGGGAGGTTTTCCTCTGAAAATTTGTGTAAAATGCCACCACGGTAACGCCAGTTGAACGGTATTAAGAAAAAAAATGAGGTATGAGCGGGGCAAAATTCACATGAATATTGAAAGCTTTGTTAACATGAATCTTTTTGGAAAGACCACTCTTTAAAGAAAAGGTCCTGAGGGTCCATAAGAGCGGGGGCGCCCACCCCTGTTGCCTCCGTCACATAAAGCGTCCAGCCCACGTGCAAACTAGGGGCTTCAAAGAGGCTCATCGATGGAACTGTTGACTGTTGCCTTTCAAAGATCGCCAGCCAAACGATTTTTGGAAGCGACCGATGTGTGATTGGGACACACCAAATCTTGAAATGTTGAAGGAATTTCGTGCGGAAATGGCTAAGAAATTGAAGAATGAGTGCCAGTTTGAACAACGGCTGAACGCTTTAGGAAGGGTCCTTGAATTACACAAACACACACATACGCGCGCCCCAAGACACGAAAAAAAACTCGTTACTTACATCGTATCCACATTTTGGCGGCTGGTCCGCTCCGAAGGGATCGTTGTCAAGGCACCTGGAGTGAACAAGCACAGAGAGAAAGGAGATGAGTAAGACGGGACGCAACATGACTAAAAACTAGAACTAGGGTGGAATCAAACTAGCAATCAGCGGACCTCGCAGCGGGAGGAAAGGGAATTCGGGGACCGGTTCGCCACCATCCCCGGGGACGGACCAGGGATTTATTCGGGGGCCGAAAATGAGCGGGAACAGCGGGGCCGGATGCGGGAGCTCGTGTCGCCGCGCGCTCGAGTGGAAGGAAACGGACTGATGTGATGACGGCCACGGCCACCAAGCCGCCGATTGAGATGGATGTCCACGCGCTGTTGTCGCCTCGCTCAGAGAAATATCCCTTTTCTCGAAAAAAGCCTACTTACTCCGTTGATTTTCAAATTTTTCGAAATTTCGAATTATCAGGGATTTTTGATGAGGGAATTCCTGATTTGTCAATTTTTTAAAATGATTTTTCCTATGAATTATTTCCACGGAAAATTCTAGGCGCCAAGTCTTCTGAAACTGGAAACATACAACGTTTTTGCTGAAAGGGAAAAATGAGACCGGTTCCGCGAATAGGGACCTCATACTCGGAGAAAAGAATTTTCTATAACTTATTGCAAAAACTGAAACCACGTTGTTCTACAACCCACATACAAATGGACTTCATTTTACAATATTGGGAACTACGATTACTGGCTCACCCGTAAAAGAAACACTCATGTACACAGAGAAACTGGTAGTACATAGGTTGTTTTTAAATTGAGCCAGAAATGGTAGTTCCGAATTGCAAAATGGAGTCAAAATGTTTGTCTTGGGACTTTAGGATTCATAGATCCTTCAATGTTTGAGCTTTCAGGGTTTTGAGTCAAAATTTCCAGATTATTATCCTCGTGCATTTGCAACACAATTAGGGGCATTTTCTCCCGGAAGATACGTTCGTTTTCACAGGTTCGGTCACAATTGCCAAGTTTCCGCGCCAGCAACATTCCCGGATTTATTCCTGATATTTCAGAGTTGGAAAAAATATCCTGACTTTCCCAGAGTTCCCCTAACTTTTTGATGTTTAGATTCAAGGAGAATATGAGTTTCTAAATTCTACTTCCTAACCGATAGCATTTTTTAAAAATCGCCAAGGAACCAAATTACTGGACTGCGGAGACATGTTAACATGAAAAAAAAATCGTAAAGGAAATATGCTGCAAAGATAGAGTGAGCAGTCAGCGACAAAGGTCTCCGGGCCCAAATTTTCCTGACTCCAGTCATCGACGCACAGTGGGGCGAGTCGATAGGAGAGGCCGGACAAAATTTGGAAACTTTAAAAGCTTATAACTCCGTTTATACAAACTATTGATGTTCTAAAAGTGGTTCCATTGGTCTCCTCGTAAAATTTTCTTCTGGAGGCACCCCTAGAAATTTAAAATGTGACGATGTAAACATCAAAATTTGCAATTTCAGTCAAAAATTTCATGGCCGACCACGGCGACCACTGTAGTTGACTCGATCCACTGTGCGACGAAGCACGAAAACATGATCCATAATGAATGGAATGAGCCAAGAGCTCGTCATCCACAAACCACACAAGCGACGAAAGACCGGATAGAGCAAAATGCGGGTCCGGATGATAAAATAATGATTGTAGTACTCAATTGAAATAGTATGGAATTTTCCCTGTTATGTTTCGGCAAAAGAAAGCATTCTGAAATTCCATTGTCTTGCGATGACGCTCACATTCAACTTGATAAGAGAGGAATTTGGGAATATATTAAGTGCAGTGTGAGTAAGCAATTTATAACGAAGAATTCCGAGTTTTTTCCGGGAGCACTGACTTTTCATTGTCTACGGTATCATTGATTTTTTTGTTTTGTTTACTGAAAACTTTAAACTGACCTCCTCCTCCCTGTTCAAAAAGACTGGATCCGTCATCAATAAAAGCTATCGAATGGACGCCCTTGAACGAGAGAAATCTATCTAAATATATGATTGAATATCGCGGCGGTAACTAGAAAAGTTGATGCGGACTTGGGAGAAAGAAAATAGGTTTGAATTATACACCTTTCCCTCATGAGGCTTAATGTAAAAAACAAATTTCAAATAAAATTTTCGCGAACTAAAAATATTTTTTAAGGACTTGAAATTTTTGGCACGAGAAAATATGCTTTTGAGCAAGCTCAGAACTTTTTTCCATTATTCACTTTTTCGAAAAAGTCACGCTGCTCCCACATTGATGGAGTTGCCCACCGTCATTCCGAGACTTTTGTCACAGAAATATAATTGAAATGTAAATTCCTGCACTCGTCGGCTAACAGTTTACTCTGCACAATAGATGAAAAGAAAAATTAATCATGGTCTGTGTTTCCTAGAATGAGACAAATAAATAATAATATGTTCCCAAATAAATAGGCATTAGCTAGTGCCGAAAAACTAAAACTTGCCGAGGCATAGAGCATGTTTTACAAACATTTTGGCGCAAAAACCCTGAACATTTTAAACCAAACTGTAATTGTGACATTTTCAAGTTAACGGTTTGCGAAACGATAGGTAGGGAAGAGCTTTTTAACTTTTCGGTCGAATTAGTACGCACATTTAGGCACCCTCATTAGTACGTAAATTAATTGAACCGCTCAGGAACTTATTTGTTGAGATACAAAATACGCTCGCCATCAAAAACTCGAATTGAGAATGTTCGTGCGTAAATAAAGAAAATTCTGTCTCCTGAAAAGTTGTTCACTGCCACCGCACACTTGGGTCCTTGTTCTCGAGGAGGATCATAGATAGAGAATGATGACAATTTAACAACAGAGAGAGAATTGTCGGCCCATAACGGTGCTTCGGCCGATTACTGCAACGCAACGACGATAACAGCGCCTTGATACAACTATTCGTGTCCCAAGGATGCGCGTGATGTATACACGCAAAATTGAAGGCGTTACACTTTTCTTTCCCGAGCAACAAGTTGTGCGCGGCTCGCTGATAACTTCTTGGAAGTTTGTGAACGTTTGTACTTTCTTTCATTTTATATTTTTCATACTTCATATGAATTTTCATGTATTTGACTTCTATTGTCATCATTACTTCTATTGCATTTCCTTTATTTAAAAAAAGAAAGAAAAAAAAACTCGCCAGTTATTTTTCATTTGAAGAGAATATGATGGACATTTTTTTGCCATTGAATTTTGATCAATCAAAATCAGAGGGTATTCAGTAAATGACTGGTAGAATTTTTCATCCCTTAGCCGGGGGAGAGAATGTGATGAATATATATTTTTTTTCTATCAAATGAGATTGGACATTCAAGGTATGATCAGTAAAAATAAAATTTCTTGGTTTTTAATCCTTCGATAGTCTCTGAAAAAATTTGGATAATTATTGAGAATTTTATAGGGAAAGGGAGACATTTTATGAAATGGACGTATTTCTGCTGAACGGAACTAAGTGACCTGGGATGAAGGAGGGTAATGCGAGTAGAGCTTAACAACGAGCTAGTTCCGTCCTATGTTCACAATGCTTTCCCATGGCGCTTAGTTCCGTTTGACAGAACAGCTATCCGAGATTCTGAAATCCTTAAAAGGAACTCAAGTTGGCGCTTAGTTCCCTCTAGCAGAAATGCGTCCGAATATTCCCATTGGACACTCAAATTTCCATTTTTACTTAAAACATAAGGCAGTGGAGGTTCTGCAAACGCAGCAACCGAGAAGTGCTTTATGCACTCAACGTCCCAATTTTCGTTCGAACCACGATGAGATGTGTGTAACTATAGACTATAGCGCGGGGTTTGGAGAAAAGTCAAAAAGCGTATTGCATCGGAAAAAGAGCGTGTTGTAACTCCAAGACGAGCCCCGCCCCTGGTAAAAATTGGCAGTAGAATCTGTGTTCCAAACTACCATAGACCTACAGCCGATTGGGAGATTTCCAATAGCTCCTATAACCGGCAACACAATTTCTTATAGCCTTTTATAGCCGATGGCGATTGAGAAACAGCCTGACGATAAAGTGTATGCTATCCGTTACTGATTATGGATGCTAGGACTTAGTGAGTTTTTGGACTACCGCTCTCTTTTTGGGCCGTAGTATCTTGATTTATTTTGCGAGGGAAGCTCCGTACTTTTGAAGGATGCCTGCCATTCCTAATATGTTGGAGCGCCTTCAATTTCGTACGATACTGTGCAATACCTCTGGTGTGAAATAGTTGCTTCAAGCGCCGTGGTACGCTGCGGCGCAGCGCGGCGGGCGGGCAGCCAGCGCGAAACGCGCATTGGCGCCTACAAACCTAACAGGGATACTTCACGGATTGCGCAATGCGTGAAGTATCCCTGTTAGGTTTGTAGGCGCTAGTGCGCCGCCGCTCCGCTTTGTGTTAGGCTCTAATATTTAATCTCGTGGAGTCAGCGTTGTTCAACTCATGACTTTGAAATGTTTGCACACTCTGTATGGATTATTCTCATTTTAATTGATGAAAACAAATATGTAGTAAAAGAAAATATAATGTGCGTTTTGTAAATATTAAGGTGATTCCGTACAAACTTGCGGCTTTACAAAGCACACGAATTTCTACACAATTTCTTATAGCCTTTTATAGCCGATGGCGAAAAAGCAACAGCCAGGCGATAAAGTGTAAAGCCCGGGGACAGGAACTAAAGCCCGCCTGTTTAATTTTTTATCGCTTTGTGTAGCCCGGCCGTATGATTTTTTCCACTTTCTACAGCCAGCTACACGCTTTTCTATCGCCTTCTTCAGTCGACTATTAGAACTCCTATGGTATTTTGAAACGCTGCTCCTTTCGCCAATTTTTACCAGGGGCTGAATACCTTTTATAATTCCATTCTGTTCCTAGCCCCCGTTCAAAGAATTGTAGTGCCCTTTTTCCAGAGCAGCGCCGCGACGGTTTTTCTTAACGTCTTATCTCAGGTCTCATGGCATGGCAACTCATTGTCAATCTGGAACCGAATCAAAGTATGCGATACACCAAAGCGCACGTAAGGTGAACTGAATTGAAAATACCTCCGTTGCTTTCATGATAAGTCTCCGAAGCTGGCACTGGGCTGGGAAACAGGACGCGTCATCTAATAGAAGGAGTAAACTATCGGAATAAGTTCTATTCAGAACCGATTTGTTGCATACTCTCGTAATTGAAGGAGCTGTTTAAAATGTTAAGCTCCTCTTTGAATGTATCCAAGGTGTCCACAAAATTTGAGGAGGAAACGTAATGCACTAATACAGTACTGACATCAGCCTAGGTTCAATAATCTTCCAAGCTTTCCAAGACTTCCTAGATCGAGGTCAA